CCGGAGAACAGACAGATGCCCAGGTTGAGAGCAAAATGGCCTCCGAGCTTTTCCAACACACCTTGCCCCCGTTAAGGCACAAAGTGAAGTGTTCCCCGTTGGTAAGGAGAGGAGGAGAAAAAACTCCTATCCCCTCCGTGCAGTTTTTTCGATGGGCTATTAGCCGGGAATGCAGGTCTGCCAGCTAGTTCTTTTGTATAGTTAATTATCCCTGCCCCCTCCTCGTTCAACCTCCTTCTCTTACAGTGGGACAGGGGAAAGGAAAATTTCTGCTTGCATTTTTAGAACAAGTAAACCTATGACACAGAGCGATTGAATTATAATGTCTATGAGGCTTTCTTTAGCATCTTCTTAATTACAGCTCTAGACTAATTTCTGAGAGATAAATATGCTGCACCTAACAAGTCCAAATTACAGAATGACAGGAGTAATTAGTCATCCATGCAGTATTCCAGCAATTGTGTAGCATTTTAGTCAGATAACTGGGCCCTGGACACTGCAACCAGCTTCTGATTTGTTTCACCACTTCTTTTCCACGTTCTGACCCAAGAGGCTCTTTGAGGCTTTTGTAAGTGTTCCTTAACCCATTTCAGGGTGACTCCCTCGCTCCTATTCCTTTTGTTCTACCATAGAAGATTCTGTGCTGGGGTTTTTTGGTGCCATTCATGAGTATCTGCAGTCTCTGCCCGGCACTGCTACTTAGGGCTTTTCAAGACAGAGGCAATGCTGTGATGCACCTGGCGCAGGTGACACCCTGTGTGGTTGCTTTGTACCCTTCAACGGTGTTGGATCCCGTGCAGCTGTTCTGAAAATCCAGGCACTGGGAAACACCTAAATAGCCAGGACACAGAGGAGCTAACTAAAAAACCAAACCAAACCAAAAACAAACAAGCAAAACAAAACCAAATAAACTAAACAACCAACCAAAAACAAAAACAAACCCCCAACTTTCACTCGAAAAAAAGCATGAACTCATTAAACAAACCTCAGGGATGTCTCTCAAGTCAGGGGCCGTCGCAGCCCCCTTTATCTCCTCTGCCTGGAGTGCTGATCCCTCCCCGTTCCTCCATAGGCTGAGATGCTCCGGGGTTACAGGCTCCCAGACATGCCCAGTGTGTTTGCCCCATTAAGTGCTTATTGTGCAAAACAGGCCACAGAACTTCAAAATGGAGGACATGGGCACATGATCCTTCCCTGCTGCTGACTGGTCCCCTTGTCTCTGGGTAAACTGCACCTCTCTGGAACTGACAATTGAACAACCAGTTCAGAAACTTAATGTTTCTTATTGCTAACTGTGACTACACTATGAACTTTGGAAAAACACCTTATTATTGCTAATATAGTGAAGCAGAAGCGCCCGAGGTGATTGGTCTTTCTCAGTTCAGCAGAAAGATGGTCTCAAGTGCAGGTGTGAGGGATGTGTGCACTTCAGCAGTGTGTGTGTTGGAGCTTGATGGTAAATGCTTGGGTATCCCTGGTGGTAAATGCTTGGGTATCACGAGCCTGGATTTACTCAGGCTTTTAAGTGAAGGAAACTTGGGAGTCTTCTTTCTATGCGGTTCCTAGAAAACATAGCTACATTTTTTTGGGGAAGTTTTGTCACATTTTGGCTCATTTCTTATGTACTCGTGGATTTATTTGCTGCTGGAGTAGTTGCTGAATACGGATCCTTTTGAATAATGTGCTAGAAGAAAATATTACATTTTCTGCTCAACAGTAGTAGTGGCCTTCCAAAAGGTGGTTGTTTGGATTAATTCTATGGTTTGGGCTTTTGTTTTGTTTGGTTTTGTTTGGTTTTTCCCCCATGGGTTTTAAATAGCTGCTGCATTGTTTTGAATAGGAGACTGCTTACTGTGGTACTTTAAAATAGAAAGAGGTTCCATGAAATAATGGAAGCTGGAGTTTTCTGTGTAGTAGCATAAAAATGTATTTAGTGATGTAGTCAGCCACTTCTGTGTATAGATATTCAGTAAATAAAGCATTAAGAAAGAAGTATTGTAGGCATCCCTCATTAAAAAGACTTTCTGTATCCTGAAGTGGGTGCATCAAGGATCTGTATTTCTGTTTGCTTGTAATCATTAGTGTTTTAATTTTAGGGTTGCTTTTTTTTTCTTACTAGTTTTATTTGAATATCATATTCAAGTAAAAGCTGTCTGCAGTGATCTTGTCTTCATGTTTTAGGTAGTAATAGATCCCAGTCGCTCCCATCAGGATGGAACTGTTCTTGTGAACAACGGTGTGATGATGTATATCCTAAATCCAAATAAAGAAAAGTGGACTAGCCTTTGTTTTCTGAGATTCTTTTTGGTGAAATATACCTGACCATTTGACTTGTGGAGCTTGGTTGGAGCTGATTCAAAAGTACATACTCATTTTCCCAGCAAGGCTGGCATTTAATGCTGAAATCTGTCCTTAGCAAAAAGGTAACTAAATCAAGGCTGAAGGCTGGAATTACAAAGATACTCGATAGGGAGGTTTTTTGTGGTAAAAGTTGTAAATAACAGTATGAGGAGACTTCTGATTTCTTGGCTTTCCTGTGGCTGTCCAGCAGTGTGATTTTCATCATTCTTCCAACTAACCTGGGATTGTTTGTCGCTTGCTGGGAGGATGTGCTGCCAGGTCTGACAGACCTAGAGAAGGACTAGCACTTCAAGTGAAAGAAAAAAAGAAAGTCTTATCCCCTGGCACTGCAGTGGCAGGTGTACTCCTCATCACTAAACTAGCACTTATTCTTTATATGGCCATGCAAACTGTGCTAGTATAACATGAAATAGCATAGCAGCTAATAAACTTGGGCAGGTGCTGAGGAGTAACTTTGTGAGCTGCAGACTCAAACAACAGCAATGCCCCGAGAGCTTTGGAGGGTCGTTTTCTACTTAGCTTTGAGACTCTGTGACTATTTCTGCAGCCCTGGTTGTTCGTTCTCATTGTAGGTGACTTAATTAAGGAGATATAATCTCCTTTTTCTTATTTAGAGAGATGCCTAGTACTGTTTAGTATAGAGAAAATGTGTCTCCATTTTATTCTGTTTTCATTTACAAGTGACCTGGAAAAAAAATTCAACTGTAGTCTTTTCTGTAAGGTAATTTGGCTGTGTACATTTCTCTCCATGCCATTGTTTTCTTCTTTCAGCTACCTTGTTGATGAGTATCTCTGGGTGGTGATGGAAAATGTGGATGAAGGCACTTTACAGGATGTTGCTTGGCTGAAGAATAGTGTTCTGGTTCTGGCCAGGACGGGGTTCCTTTTTCCAGTAGCAAGGACGGGGCATGATTAGGACCTGGATGTTATTTGACACCACCTCACATCACGGCTGGGGGAAAGGGTCTCTCTCTCTCTCTCTCTCTCTCTCTCTCTCTCTCTCTCTCTCTCTCTCTCTCTCTCTCTCTCTCTTTTAGGGAGAAGAGATTCCTTCCAGTAAAGAAAACGTGGTGGACGGAGCAGTCCAGTATTTATTTTGGGGGGATTTCCATGTAAACAATAATGAAGTCACACCACCACTGAGTGTTGCTGTGCCAGACTTGTTTTTTGGAACTTCAGTACAAACTGGAGCCCACACTGACACTGCCAATGTGTTTTTCTCCATTCCTTAAGCAGCAGAGTGCAGGCCATGTTTGTCTTCACCTTGGGGGGCATCCAGTACGCCTGGAACTGACTGCCCTAGGGGTGGAAACACAGCCCCATTATTTGCCATGGACTGATCCAGACTGCTTTGGAAATGGGTGAGGATCCAAACACTTGCAATACATCAATGACATCATTGTGTGGGGCAACAGAGCAGAGGAAGTTTTGAGAAAAGAGAGAAGATAATACAAATCCTCCTGAAGGCCAGTTTTGCCATAAAACAAAGTAAGATCAAGGGACCTACCCAGGAAATTCAGTTTTTAGGAGTAAACTGGAAAGATGGACATTGTCAGATTCCAGTGGACGTGGTCAACAAAATAGCAGCTATGTCACCACCAACCAGCAACAAGGAAACACAGGCTTTCCCAAGTGCTGTCGGCTTTTGGAGAATGCATATTCCAGAGTGCAGTCAGATTGTAAGCCCTCTCTGTCATGTGACATGGAAGAAGAATGATTTTAAGTGGCGTCCTGAACAACAAGCTTTTGAACAAACTGAACAGGAGATTGTTCCTGCAGAAGTTGCACTGGTCAGGACAGAATAGGATGTAAAAAATGTGTTCTACACTGCAGCCGGGGAGAATGGTCCTTCTTGGAGTGTCTGACAAAAAGTGTTCAGGAAGACTCAGGAATGACACCTGGCATTCTGGAGTTGGGGAAACAGAGGATTGGAGGCCTGTTACACCCAAACTAAAAAAGAGATCCTAGCAGCTCATGAACTGGTTCGAGCTGCTTCAGAAGTAATTTGCAACGAAGCACAGCTCCTCCTGGCACCCTGACTTCCAGTGCTAGGCTGGATGTCCAAAGAGAAAGTGCCTTCCACACACCATGCCACTGATGCCACATGGAATAAGTTGATTTCTCTGATTAGATTGAAATTGGAAACCCCAATCACCTCAGGATCTTGGAAGTCAGCACCAACTATCCTAAAGGAGAAAATTAATATCTATAAGTCTGTGCCAATCTGTGTTTGTTTGTAACAAAGAGATAAAATTATGACTCAGGAAGAAGTTTTCAGTAGACCTTGCTCATCTGCGAGAATATTTACCCTCTGCAGGCTGCCCTGGTCAGCACCAGACAGTGGAGAGAAACCAGAGCAGAGCAGAAGTTAAGTAGAGAGGGGGACTGGAGGCAAGCTGAGGGCATCGTCCCCTTGATAACACCAGTAGCCCCTGCTGCTCTTTCTGCCTTTGGCATCTGCTTCACTACAGGTGCACATCTGCAGCAGAAATTCCTGTGGGAGGAGGTACTGCTAACATGGCCCTGGGGCTGCAGGAGTCCATGGCTGTGCATTGCAGCATGTGGGTGCACCCGCGATGGGGCACGAAGAGAAGGGGAAAGGCAATAAAAGGGAGAGAAAACAGCACCCAGAGATTGTGTGAGGGAAATAATAATTTATTTCCTTTTCTTTGAATAAAGAATTGCAAGAGCCCTGCCAGCACTGCCAGCGGGGCGGCCTCTTGCAGGGTTGCAGAGAGTCCTGGGAACTGGGGGCCCTCCTGTCTGGGGCATGCTGGGATTCCCCGGGCGATCACTCCCTGCCCTGGATGGGAGCGGAGGGGCTGTGGCTGCTGCCCTGGGCAGGAGGGAGGCCTCTGTTGTAGCAGGTTCCTCCTCCATGTCAGAGCCTGTGAGGCTGCTGGCAGGAGTCCCCTTCCGGGAACTGCTGGAGCTGGAGCTGCTGAAGCTGGAGCTCCTGGAGTAGCTGTAGCTGCTGGAGCTGGAGCTGGCTGTGGCCACAGGGCCATTGTTCTCATCTCTGACTGCACCAGAGCACATCAGTCTCTGGGCCTCCTCACTGCACTGGCCCACAATGATGTTGATGGCACTGTGGATCAGTGGTGCTGCGTGTTCCTGGAGGAGAAGCTCCAGCACTTCAATCAAGACCTCTGCATTCAGCCCATAGACACAGAGGCCATGCAGGATGGTGCTCTCTATGGTCTCTACCACCCACCACCAGCCCCGGTATATTCCCTCCAGCCTCTGGCGTAGCCAGGGCCGCACAGGGTCCAGGAGATGCTCTTGTTGACGGAAAAGTTCTGCCCAGTCCTCCGGCAGGATACTGCCTGAACCTTCCTGCTCTACTTGCGACAGTGTCTCCTGTGGAGAAAATGAACGGGATGTCCCAGGGGGATGGGGGCTGTTCTCAGCCAGGGTGTCAGGAGCTCTCCCTGCCATACTGCTGCCATCTGGCAGCTCCTCAGGGGCTGTGATGGCTGTCTCCAGATAGTCTCCTTCTCCAAAGTCAGAAAACCGGATGGTCTCTATTGTTTTTCTGCAGAGTGGGCACACTGGGTTTCTCTGCGCCCACCGCAGGATACAGCCCAGACAGAACTGGTGGTGACAGGGCAGAGCAGAAGCCACATCCTTCCAAGTGTCCTGGCAAATGGGGCAGTTGCTGTCTGTCTCCGTGGCCATTTTTGTGTCCTGCAGCACACTGGGGAGAGCTTAGGATCAGGAGCTGCTTGCCTTCACTGGTGCCACATGTCACAGGAGGGAGAAGCCATGGTCACTGGCTCTCCCAGGAAGGGGAGGAAGAAATGTCCAGGCCCTTCAAGAATGACATCCTTCCAGCTCCCTGAGCCCCGTCACCCACACCACAGCCACCCCTGGGGGGCACGTTTTCCCACAGAGCCAATCTTCACTGCTGCCAGCACCTGCAGTGCCTGGCTACCTGAACCAGGCAGGGCCAGGGAAACACTAGTTAGACTGCTCCAGGTCTGCACCAATATCTGCCAGTGGCAGGCACCAGTCCTCACTGGAGAAACCTGGCTTGATCCTCTTGGACTCACAGTCTTGCTTGGTAGAAGTTCAGGCTGGAGCCAGATTGGTGAAGGCTCTGCCAATATCTGAATGTAAGCAGTGTCATAATGCATCTCCCCGTGATGTCACAGTCTACTGCTCGGTGACATCAGCCTCTGCCCCTGGGTGACAGTACAAAAGGCATTCAGACTCCCAGTCACCCCAAGATAAGCAGAGAGGAAAGTGAGGTCACAATCCATCACTCGGTGAAGTCACAGTCCACAGGTCAGTGACATCAGCCTCTTCTTCCCAGTGTTGTCACAGCAGGCCTTCCATCCCTGCAGGCACATGGTGTCAGGAGAAAAAAGGAAATACCTTTTCTTGTTTTCAGCTTCTGCATTTCCATGTAGCTCTCCCTCAGTTACCTGTGTCACATGACTGTGGCTGTTTGTCTTGTCATGCCTTTAAAAGTCTTCCTGGGATCCAGTGACAGGACATGGGGAAGTGATTCAAAACTGCATCAGGAGTGGTTCAGACTTAACATGAGAAAACATTTCTTTAGTGAGAGGGTGGTCAAACACTGGAATAGGCTTTCTTGAGTGGTGGTCAATGCCCCAAGCCTATCAGTTCCAGAGGCATTTGAGCAATGTCCTTAATGACTTACTTTAAATTTGGGTCATCCTTGAAGGGGTCAGGCAGTTGTACTATACAGTTATTATTGGTCTCTTCTAAATGAAATGTTCTGTTGTATCCTGTTGTACATTATGGTACCCTACCCATCCAGCCACCATGGTATTTTCTCTCTCAGCTGCTGCTAATAGGATTTAGCCTGCAAAATGACAGTTCCCTCCGAAGGGCTTCCTGCTACTGTAACTGTGGGGCTTTAGGAGAACGTGAAGGCATAGGCTATAGGCAAAGAGGTGATATTTGAGTACAGGTCTCTTGTCCACATCTGCATCTTCCCAACTTCACTCTCCTTGGTTTTTGTCCTCTGTCATGTCTTGTCACACTCCTATGCACTGTCCCTTCTTGGCAGCCCTCCACACAGTGAGGCTGCCCTGATCATCAGCAGACAGTGAAAAGAAACCATATGCATTTCACAAACTGGGAAAAAAGTTCTAGGTCTAAGGAAAGGAGGCTGAGCCAAGTGGTGGGATCTACCTACCTGTGGAGTAGATATTCACCCTTGACCAGATGCATGGTTTGCAGGTTTGGGGTGCAAAATGTATCCTTTGGGGAAAGAGAAAAGGGCACAGAAATTCGTATTTTCAGCAGCTGAGAACTGGCAGTATTAAAATATGTAGCAGTTAATGGAAGGCATCTCCCTCATTTCAGGATTTTCCTCTACGTGGGAACATGGAGTGAGTTCTGGCAGCTCGGAACACCTGACAGGGAGGAGCAGCTGAGGCAATGGAGCACTGCAGGAAAAAATGAAGGTAGGAGGGAATGGCTGGCAGCACCTGTACGTGCCAACATAATTTAGTCTTTGCTGTCTCTCAGGGAAGAAAAGAGACCTTGGGGCTGTAAGCTGGTGTTACTGAAGGGCAAGGGAAGAAAACCTGACCTATGAAGTTTGTCTTGCCACACAACTGGAGAAAGGAAGCAAAATCACTTGAAATTTTGGCCTCGACCTTCAGTGATGTTTTGAATATTAGAATATCCATTTGGGGGAGAACAGAATGCATTTGCACAGTTCCATTATGTTATTTTGTTCAACACACAGATCCTCTCATTTCCCCTTCTTTGGCCTTAAGTGTTCAAGTTAACCATCTGCTTTGGAAATGTAGCTCAAATGTAACAGTTTCTGCTATTTTACTTAACTTTTCTTTGCTTGAGCTGAAAAATTCAGCTGTAATTTGCTTTATAGAATTCTTTGTCACTGTAGGACTGAAAAAAGACCGCAGGAATTTCTCCCACCAAAAGATAATATGTAGAATAGTATTATAAAGATTATTTGGCAATATTCACGTGTTGTTTTATATGTAACTGTATAAAATCTTTAATTTAGAATAAATGTTACCTAACAGGCTTTCAGTTCAATTACAGCAGTTGCTTTTCAGCAGGCTAATTTTCCTGTAAGACTAGACAAGGAAAGTAATCACTTACACATATGTTTTCCATATTTCCATATTCATGGTTTAGAAATGGTATTCCCCAGTTTAGTGTTCACATTGAAAGACCCAAGACCACATGTCACTTGCTCGCTTCTCCACCACTACCCCTGCACAGGATGGAGATTTGGAGACGCAAGAAAGTAAAAATCATGGGTTGAGATAAGAAAAATTTGCTAGAAACAGCAGTGAAATAAGAAGATGAACAGCAACAACAATACTAATAGCAGAGTGTACAAGACAGGTCAGAGATTCGCCCGCGATTGCTCGGCACATGGAACCTGTGGAACCTGGCACCACTCCACCACTGCAAATATTAACCCTGTCCTGTCCAGATCCAGAACACATAACATGCCCTGAGGGTCCTGCTCTTGCTCAGGGTTAGAAACCCCCTGGGCATCTGCCCTGGCAAAAGGGACTTCAGGGCAAGCTCCCACTTACTAACATTCCTCCCCACACCATGTCCCTTTTTGCCTCCAGAAGGCTTTGCACAGAAAGAGCACTGGAAGTGTCACTCTTGGAACATGTGCAGCAAGGAAAAAGAAAGCTTTTGAGCAATCTGGGTCTCAGAGCATGTGCTCATGGAATAAGGCCCTCTTTCTAAGAGGCACGATCCATAGTGGAGCACTCCAGCTTCAGATACAGGGGGCTCTCCCAAACCAGGGACCCGCTGCCAGTGCACAAGGACACCAGAGACATTCACACCCTCACATGAACTTGCTGTGCTTTATTGGCAGAGCCAGGACTGCATTATGGCCAGCGTTCTCAGCTCAGCGGTAGTGGCGTCTGCGCCTCCTGCCACGGGAGAGACGCCGGCGATATCGGCGGGATCCAGCCCGACGTCTCTTCCGCATGCCACGGCGACGGGAGCGGCGGCGGCTCCGACTGCGGCTCCTGTAAGATCTCCGATAGTGGCAGGGCATGGTGGTTGTGGCTGAGGGCTGGGGCGGCTGCGTGGCTTTTATAGGGCTGCCAGGCAGGAGCCCTTTGTGACACCAGCACATTCCAGAGCCAACACCACCAGCAAGGTCACAATGGCTGTGCCCAGGCAGTGTCTGGTGCACTCACTGGTACATGGGCATAGTGATGCAAGTGTCACTGAAAACTGGAAATAAAACTCCTGAACACCAATATAGTATTAAGAAACAGCATTAACTTATTGCAGCGCTGGATGCATGGGGGGTGATTCATTCTAACATTCATGCTTGGCTCAAGATGATACTAGCCAGGGATATATTGTGTGCATTCTCTTTATCAAAAGACATTTTAATACGCATTAGTTGCCAGAGCGCCCAGAGTGTGGCCCTGATGCAGGCCTAGCTCTGCCAATAAAGATAATAATTTTAACTTTTGGACAGCAGGTGAATTGAAATCTGAGAATAGAACAGTGCACTTCACCTCCCAACTGGAACTCTCCCCACCATTTCCCCTTTAGTAAGCTCCCAGACACATCCCAAAAGGAGGAAGGTGGCAGATGCTCTGCCCCACCAACAGCAACAGCAGACAGAACTTCACCTGTCAGACACACAGCTGGGAACGTTGGTGAAACAAGCTGAGAGTTTACAGTGGAAAAACAAAACCTCCCGTGATGGCAAAAGCAAAGCCCAATTTATGCTCATTTCACCCGCTGGCAGATTTTCTTTCAGCTGTTAGTTTTCCTATGGAAGAACATGGAAAGCGTAAATACTCTTCTGTCAGAAATGAAAGATTTCTGGTCAGTTTAGGATCTAGTCCAGCTCCAATTCTCATCAGGATCAGAGTGAACTAGGATACCGTAGGAGACTCAGGAAAGAATAGTGGGCAGCTTAGCAGGTGGATGATGGTTTTGCAGCTCGCTCTTTGATGTTACAGGGGGAGTTCCTGAACTCTATTCCCGAAAATAGCCCCAGGAGAACTCCATGTGCACATCCCATGGGAGTCCGCAGCCTTGTGTTCTCCTTGTTGCACAGTTTTGGGGCTTGCCTCTCTACGGAAGAACCTGTGGCCTTGCCAATGTCTGATGTTTAATTCAAGGTGTCATGGCACACTGAGCTACAACCGCTCCAGCTCTGTAAGTGGACACCTTTAGGCCATTTACTGTGGCAGCAAATCGTTTGCGCTTATCTTGCATTCACCGCGTGCTTGGTGTAAAATTGCACGTGTGCTTTATAGAATAGAGGCACATTAGAATGTTCTCTCGGAACACATTAATATCCAAATAGTCTCCTTTTCCCATTAGAAAATACATAGCTATATTCTCCTATGGGCAACACCAGAGCTATAAGGATGACTTCAATGCAGAGTATGGGAAATACCAGAAGTTGCTGGCTCAGATGGACAATATGGCCAAGAAATTCAGGACTTTTGATGAACAACAGAAGTTTGTGACTCAGGGATCTTCAGCATATCAGGTAAAGAAGGATAAAACTGAGAAGAAGACCCTGGCGAGCTGAGGGGGTGCTGATACCCAGATGGGGGAGAAGACAGGAAGTGCCTGGAAACTAGTGGCCGTAATCCCAAAACTGCATGCAGGGCATGCACTCATGGAATAGGGCCCCGTTTCCGAGAGGCCCGATCCACAGTGGAGCACTCCAGAGTGGGGTCCAGGGGGTTCTCATGAAGCAGGGAAAGCCCAGGTGAGCAGAGAGACGCGGGCCCCAGGCGCACCCCGAGCGAGTCGCTGCCGGCGCAGAGGGACACCAGGGACATTGACACCCTAATCTCATGGGAGCTTGCTGTGCTTTATTGGCAGAGCCAGGCCCGCGTCAGGGCCGCGCTCTGGGCGCTCTGGCTCTGTAAGGCCGGGGCCCTGAGCTCGGCTCAGCGGCGTCTGCGCCTCCTGCCGCCCCGGCGGCGACGGCGAGTCCGGCGTCTCCTCCGCACGCCTCGGCGACGGGAGCGGCGGCGGCTCCGGCTGCGGCTGCGGCTGCGACCCCTGCGCGACCTCCGCCGGTAGCGGGCCATGGTGGTTGTGGCCAAGGGTTGGGGCGGCTGCCCGGCTTTTATAGGGCTGCCAGGCAGGAGCCCTTTGTGACACCCACCAGCGCTTTCCAGAGCCAACATCACCAGCGAGCTCACAATGCCCGCACGGCCACACCCAACCCCTGCAGAATCCATGGCTATGGACAGCCTTGGCCTACAGCATGTGGGCGGCTGCCCTGGGGCTGCCATGACCTTTTGGGCTAAAGGGCTTAGAGGAACTCACAGCTAGTGGCACCCTGAGAGCTCTGTCACCACCTCTGTAACATGCCAAAACGGCCCAGCCCAGTTTGCTCAGGAACATCCCACACAGCTCACAGAACCGAGGCGAAACCGATGCCTTGTGTGGGAGACCACGATGAAGGGTTGAGCAAAGTCCAAATGCTCAGCAACCCCCCTGGGGTGCCTAAAGACCCCCAAGAAGACCCTCTGAGACTCTCTGTGTAGACCCCAGCAACTAATGCATATTAAGATGACTTCTGAGGCATGAAATGCATATGTATATGCCTGCTACTGAATACATGTACATCTTGAGTCAAGCATGAATGTTAGGCTGAGTTAGACCCTCCACTCCATGCATTCCTACAGGACATGGCATTCTAAACTCTCCAGAAACGTTTGCATGCCCTACTTTTCTTTTCACCTTTCCTGTTTAGTGTAGCCCCAGTTCCTCTGATTGAGGGAATGTCAGTACCTGCACAACAAGCTGTCTCGCATTAAGAGACTAATACAGGAATTTGACAAACAGAAAGAGGACTCCTAGCCGCAGTTTTCTGCTTCTGCCAATACATATCTATGAACTTGGCTTATTTTTTGAACAACCTCCCCGCACCACGCACTCACACCGCACCCCCCCCCATCCACGGACCCCTCCTCCACTCCGCTATCTTAGTTTTGAACAGTTGCTTATTTATTTAAAACTGAAGATAATTTTCTGTAAGACTATCTGTTAGTATTAAACAGTATCTTGTTATTTAAAACTCAAGATCCAGTTCCTCTCATATTATATAAGATAGTATTTCACCTTTTCATTAAAGAAGTTTCAGTATTGTTAACTCCTTTGGTGGTGGGTGTTGCTTCTATCCTATTGAAAGCTGCTTTTTTCTGGTCCCTCCTTTTTTCCAGGACTCAGGTCCTTGAAAGCATTCTTTTGTCCTTTAGATGGTGAGATCCAGTACTTGCTAAAAAAGTTTTCATAATTTAGTAAAAATATTGTAGCAAATTGTAATACTTAGGAATACTACGTACACGGGGCCTGTTTTCTGACCTTTCCGGTATGCAAACTCTTGCCTTCTGTGGTAGACATTGGGCAAAACTCCCCAAAAATCACCGTGTTATGAAGGGTTAAAGAGAGTAATTTGGCTGCTCTGCAACTGTCAGTGACGCAGCTCACAAAGTCTGCTTTAAAAGGCTTGGGTTCCCCTTGTCAGTGAGAAAGTAATATCCAGGCTTCCTTGGAAGTGATTTGTAAAACACACAGAACGTGTTGAGGCAAAGCCACTTCAACGGTCTTATTACACCAAAAGTGGGTTAAAGTGTCACAGTAGAAACCTTTACCCATTGTTCGCTTTGTAAAAAATAGTCGTCACACCAGTCTTTCTAGAGCCACAAATGTTGATTCCGGCCCCAGATCTAGGGTGACTCTGAAGTCTATTCTTCCCTGAGTTTACTAACCATTTATTCTTTAAAACTCAGGGGGGAGAGTGTGTCCCTAAGCTTCTTTTTGGGAAGATATGAAATTGAACTGAGGAGGCAACTGTTTGAGGACAGTAATTGGGCACATTAAAAACTGGCGTGTGGATCCACTTTCTTCCTTGGAGCGTAGTTTAACAACAAACTTCCTCCATTGGTCTCCCTGCAAAACTGTGTTGAGCCCCTGTATGTGACACTTCCTGGGGTGTTTTGTGATTGCACACCTGAGCCATTGTTGCCCTTCTGTTCTCCATCAACTGAAGTCCAATAAACCGTTAACTCTTAAATGGTGAGACTTTGGTCTCTTTTTGACTGGAGGCAGTGGGTGCTCCTACCCCTCTGCAAGGAAGCATCAGAACAAAAGGTGCTGTGGGGATCGAGGGGTGAATTCTGCTGCAGTGATGCCTCCTCTTGCCCTGACGTTCTGTCCTGCTGCTGATTGTCAGAGCCTCAAACATGCTTCTTTCCAGAGCAGGCAAGCGAGAGGTTTTATAAGCAGAGATCCTTATTCTGGGTCCTATTTCACTGTGCCTGTAAACCTTCTTTAGGATGGGGAATGTCCACATACTTATGAGGCCTGCGTGTTTCAGGCTGTCATTTCGGTCCAGATTCCTTAAAACGAAACCAGAAATAAAACAAATCCCTATTCCAGAGCCACCTAAATCAGAAAAGTCTTCTAAAGTTTATAATGAAAAAGTCACCAATCTAGCAATTTAGAGGTGCTGGAAAAATGCTTTAATTCCTTGTTAAGAATGATTGTATGAGCTCAGAAGGCTCTGCCTTGCTTGGATCTAACCCTGCATAGTTATAGCTGGGGAACAAAGGAAGACAATCCATGAAGACCAGAAGCTGCCTTTTTTTTTTTTTTTTTTTTTAACACAGCAGTGGGGCTATGGCAGAGTTTTCTCTATGGAATGAGGCATGTTTTCATCATCCCATGAGCGACCACAGGATGTCGTCATTTGTGTCCCCAAACAGAACAGCTTTTCTTTCTCAAGTGCCTGCCCAAAGGAAACTACAGCTTCCTACTATTTGGAAAATCCAGGTACTGAGAGCTGCATAAATAGCCAGGAGACAGAGGAGCTAATTATGAGAGTTCACTGAATAAATCTCAGTGAGGCCTCTCAACTCGGTGAAGGTCTCAGCCTATTTTATCCCCTTTGCCTGGAGCACTGGTTCCTTCCCGTTTCTCATTGGCTGAGATCCTCAGGTGGTTACACAGACTTCCTGACACACCTACTATATGTCCCTCATTATATGCTTCTTAGGTAGCTCTGAAGGTCACTGAAGGACAAACTACACATTTTTCAAGATGGAGGTTACAGCGCAATTCAAAATGGAGGACATCACTACATTATATATTCCTTGCTGCTGATTGTCCCTTGTTTCTGGACAATCTGCACCTCTGTGTGACTGACAACTGCACAACTAGGAACTTGTTACTGCTAAGCCAACTGTGACTACACTACAAACTTTGCAAGAACACCCACTTATTCCTAAAAAGCTGTATTCAAAAAGAGGCAAGTCTACGCCATATTAGATCTCAGCAAACTTAGCTGCTACTTATAGATTTATACAAAAAAAGCCTTGCTACCTCCTTTTGAAGTGAGGAAGACTTTTCACGGTATAGTGCTGCTAACAGGACCCTTTTGGAATGAAAACCTGTGTTGCAGTATAAATTCTTTATGACGCAGCAGAGATAAGAAATGATCTTAGCCAGAAACCATGAGATTTAAACAAAGACAAGGAAAGTCTCTTTACATCTATTCCCTGAAATTCTTACATTATCTTTTAATTAAACAGACTTGTAGGCTCAATAGGTAAATCCCTTTATCACTTTGTTTGCCCCATCTGCCTTGTGATTGTGATAAAGAAATATCTGTTTATGTTTGAAGAAAAATATCTCCCTGTGTTTCGTGGACCTTTAACCCCAGCTATGAATGGAATGTTTGTCCCTCTTTCCCAAAACCCTATATATACCAAAGTTGTGATGAATAAAGCATTCAGTTTTGTACACGCAAACTGGATCGTTGCCTCCTTAAACCGTCACAAATGGCTCCTGAGAACAGCAACATGAGTCCTTGAGGGGAATAGAGGCAAGGACAGAGAAGAGGTCCTGCTCCGGTGACAGGTCGAAATCGAACGGAACGAAAAGCGCGCTAAACCAGTTCCTCTCTGCTGGACAGAAGGTAAACGCGATTGCGGAATAGGGCGAGGTTTGAATGCTCGGAGGCCAAAGAGAGAGCTTCCTCCGATCGAAACAAAAAGGCTGCTTTAAGCACCTAGGGGCCAAAAATAGCTTCGAAACAAAAACGACGGGCAAATAACTGCCCTGAACAAAAGACTGCTTAGGAAATGGGATCTAAGATGTCCTCAGAGAAAAAGACAGTTTACGAACTGATGAAATGCCTCCTTAAACAACACAGGCTCGAATTAGATGACTTTTCCTTGCAAAACTTGCTGCTGTAGGACGCAGCGCCACTGCAAGTGGGAAGAGAGCGCCAAAATAGTGGCAGCTCCTCGGCACCGCTACTGCCGGAGGCGCCGCCCCTTAAGTCTCTACGGCCGCGGCCGCCGCCGCTTACTACCGCTGCCAGCAGCAGCCGCCGCTGCCGGGGGGGGCTGGCCGCCGCCCGTCTCGCCTTCCAGCTTCCAGCTCTGCCGTCGCCGCCAACCCGCGCATGGTCGGGGTGCGAGCGAGCGCCAGCGAGCTGCCGCACTGCCTCAGCAAGTTCCCGTGTCGCCGCCTGCTACCGCTGCCAATGGCGGCTGCTGCCCAGCGGGGGCTGCTCGCCGCCTACCTCGTCGACCTACAGTTTCCAGCCTCTCCGCCGCGGCGGAACCCGAGCCGGCCCGCGACCCCCCGCCTCTCTGAGTCGCCCGTCCCCGACAAGCGCCCAGCCCGTCGAACTCGTTCTCCGATCGGAAGAGCTGCCTGACCGCCTCCCTCAGCGATTCCGAGCCGCCCAGCCTGGAGGACTCAGACTGCCGCCAGCCGCCTCTCCATCTCCGACAACTGAGGGGGGATGGGGAACCAGCCGTGGGGGGGTCCCACGTCGACCCTGCACGTAAGTGACCGAGAGAAGAAAGCGAAATCTCTCTCTCATTACTCCTTCTAATCTGTTGTGGGTAACTTAAAACCAATGTTTTACTTAAACTGGTATACAGAAAGTTTTAGGGACTTTCCTGTGGAACGGGTCTTTGTGCTGAAGTTTTAGCGAAGTGCCTTGTTCTTGGTTGTGTTTTGCTCCTGTAAGAACCTTTTGCCAAAATATCGTATTCAGCAAAACAAAAGAGTGTTTTGGCAAAAAGAAAATGAACCCCTGACAAAAACAGTCTTCCAGGAGGAGGGGGGGAAAAAAAAAAAAAAGTTAAAAATCCTCTTGCTAAAAGTCTGCCTTTGCAAAGGAAGAGATAAGGTGTGTTCACACACAAGAGATCGTTTGTTGCTTAGTAACTTGGCGGGAGATTTAAATCTTTCCGGCCAGAGAAAACTGTATAGCCTGACGCAGGAAGATTTAAACTGCCGGTTTCTCGGAGCTGGGGGGAAGTGGATTCTCTCGTCTTCTGTCTCGTCCGTTCTGGGGAAAAAGTAAAACCTTACTGCTTTATAAAAACTGTGACTTTGCTACTTTGTGGTTGGGGAAAAAAAGTTCTCTTGTCTAGCAGTCTGAGGGGAGGGGGGGGCAAACATAGAAAATCCAAACCTCTCTCTCGCTTTGAATTTTCCTGCTTACAAGATAGGGGGAGGGAGGCACTGCAAACTGAAACCCCTTCTATCACTCAGTTCCCTTATCAGTTGACTGCTTCTAACAAACCCTTTGGCGGGGGGGAGGGGAGGCGGGTAAAGAAGCAACAGGCAAACCCCAAAACCTCTTGGGAAAGCAAAAAAAAAGGCTACCTTTCTCAAGGAAAGCTAAGAAACCAATTAAAGCTAAACATACTGCCTAAAAAGCAAAGATTCTCTAGGGAATAAATAAGCTGAGTTCCCTTTTGTTGTCTAAAGCCCTTAAAGCTGCCTTTACGCTGTCATCTGCTAAGATCAGTATGATGCCCTGCCTCCTATAATTAAAAATCAGAGATGAAATTGCAAATCATTGTATAAATTTATATTGTTATTAACTAGGAATGTTTAAGTTTTGTCTCGTCGAAACCAGAATACTGACCTGAATAAGCAATGGCGAGCCACTTAAGTAAAAATGGAAAGAACTGTTATCTTGATTCCTGTGATATCTACAAATGAGAACTCCTAAAAATGAAGCCAAATGAAGAACCATACTGAACAGTGAAGTCAAAGAAAGCAACAACAAGAATCAGAGACTGTAAAATAAAATCACTAAATGCCTTGCCTTCTGTTTGCAGTATAGAATCTTCTAGTGTAACAATGTAATATTAAGTTTTGTTTTGTTGTTAAAATAATGTTTGTCTTTGTTTTCTAATTGTTTCAGCACGTGAAAAGATTCCCTGATAATTCGTATGAGGACTCATACAAGATTTCATATGAATCGAATCTGGTTATACTAAGAAAACTCACGGTATTTTTTTAAAAAAAAACATCAATAAGTTGCCATTTTAAATATGTATTTGCCTCATTATTCTCACTTTGACACTCATCATACACCATTGACAGACTGCAGAGATACAAAAGGACTAGGAAGTTGTAAACAAGACCTCATAGGTGTGACTACTATAGAAAGCACATTTGTTTCACCAATGCTTAGGTTGCATCTAGTCCCTGAAATCAAGAACATAGATGCCTGATTTTTATGACCTTTGTTGTGTCTCTCTATGTCCTTACCACAATGTAGGTATGTGCTTGTGTTAAAAGCCAGTCTGTTTTCTTCACTTTCAGATTTCTGAACCTTAATTTTAGGGGGTTTAATTTTGATCGCCTAATTTGGCTTGAGAAATACATGGTTGCCAGTTATAGGAACTACAAAGGTGACAAGCTATTACATACAGATTTGATTTGAAGTGTTTTCTGGTTAATTCAATGGAAACAGGTTTAACAAAGCAGAGTTTTTACGGATTAAGGTGGACAGTAAGACTTCCATATTTTTCTTAAAACTGACTATAAAGATATGCAGAATGCTTTTACATTGATATGATTCCTTCATATGTCTTTATAATGCCAACCTTTGTGGCCCAAATTATTCTGACATGTAATGCCTTCGTATAACTATACTTTCCATGTAAGAGGGGCACATGAGTGTAGGAAGCAAGAAGCAATGGTAAAATGGTTAAAATTAGTTCCAATATTTTGTTGACATATTTGGCTTTGTGATTACTGTAAGTGGCATAAAGTTGCTTGAAACATTTTTTCAGGTATATAAAGAGCTGTACATTGTCTGGAAAAAGAGGCCTTCTTGCTAAATTAATTTTTACTTGTGGTGTTAAAAGTAAGGCTGAAGTGTTTCTTGTTAAATCCATTTAAGAATACTTTTGCTTCTAAGATGCAGCTATAGATTTTTGTTATTAGCTCATTCTGAATTGATACATCAAAGCATTGATAAGTTAAAGAAACTTTCAGCTCAACTTACAGAAGACAATAATCAAGGCTTAGGTGGCATATTTAGTTCGCTTAATATGTTTAGTATAGTACCCTAGTTAAAGAAAGCATTTATAGTAATATTAATGGGCCTGTTTGTATTTTTTTGTATTATGCTTTGTATTCTCTGTTTATTATCTTGTATACAACACGTGGTTAATTGCAGTTTTGTGGAAAGCCTCAATCTCGCAGCTTGAAAACAAAAAGGGGGAGATGTTGGAGTATAAATTCTTTATGACACAGAAATCTTAGCCAGAAACCATGGGATTTAAACAAAGACAAGGAAAGTCTGTTTACATCCACTCCCTGAAATTCTTACATTATCTTTTAATTAAGCAGACTTGTAGGCTCCATAGGTAAATCCCTTTATCACTTTGTTTGCCCCATCTGCCTTGTGATTGTGATAAAGAAATATCTGTTTATCTGTTTGAAGAAAAATATCTCCCTGTGTTTCGTGGACCTTTAACCCCAGCTATGAATGGAATGTTTGTCCCTCTTTCCCAAAACCCTATATATACCAAAGTTGTGATGAATAAAGCATTCAATTTTGTACACACAAACTGGATTGTTGCTTTATTAAACCATCACAAACCTAGACCTTGAGGTAGTTTGCAACTCATACAGGAAACCTACTCCAAGATAGTCTCCTTAAATATTGCCAAAGCAAAGGAGAAAATTTTTTTACCTTTTATGGTCGAAGGAGCTTTTGGAACTTTATAATCAGCTTGAAGTATAAATGGACTACTTCAATTTGGATAGAAGAACATGGCTCTCATTAGATTGTATACGTCTTCAGGGTAAAAAACCCTACCATTGCCTTCCGCAAACAAAGCAAGAAACCTAACAGATTCAAGGACTCAGTTCTGAAAACTCAGTGTAGGATCAACCCAAACTGTACACGTGTGGAATTTTACTCGCTTTACGAGGATCCAAACCACTTTTTTCCTACATAAGGACAAAATATTCCTACTTTACAAATGAAATGCATGCATAATTCAGTCACAGCCTGCAGGAACAGGGAGCAGTAAAAGGAATGAGGGATGCATGGAAGTGACTCGGTTTAATGTTTGTGCTTCTCTCAAGATGATACATGTATTTATTAGCCAGGGATATATGTATGCATTCTCTTTATCAAAAGACATTTTAATATGCATTAGTTGCTGGGGTCTACACAGAGAGTCTCAAAGGGTCTTCTTGGGGGTCTTTAGGCACCCCAGGGGGGTTGCTGAGCATTTGGACTTTGCTCGACCCTTCATCGTGGTCTCCCACACGAGGCATCGGTTTCGCCTCGGTTCTGTGGGCTGCGCGGGATGTTCCTGAGCAAACTGGGCTGGGCCGTTTTGGCATGTTACAGAGGTGGTGACAGAGCTCTCAGGGTGCCACTAGCTGTGAGTTCCTCTAAGCCCTTTAGCCCAAAAGGTCATGGCAGCCCCAGGGCAGCCGCCCACATGCTGTAGGCCAAGGCTGTCCATAGCCATGGATTCTGCAGGGGTTGGGCGTGGCCGTGCGGGCATTGTGAGCTCGCTGGTGATGTTGGCTCTGGAAAGCGCTGGTGGGTGTCACAAAGGGCTCCTGCCTGGCAGCCCTATAAAAGCCGGGCAGCCGCCCCAACCCTTGGCCACAACCACCATGGCCCGCTACCGGCGGAGGTCGCGCAGGGGTCGCAGCCGCAGCCGCAGCCGGAGCCGCCGCCGCTCCCGTCGCCGAGGCGTGCGGAGGAGACGCCGGACTCGCCGTCGCCGCCGGGGCGGCAGGAGGCGCAGACGCCGCTGAGCCGAGCTCAGGGCCCCGGCCTTACAGAGCCAGAGCGCCCAGAGCGCGGCCCTGACGCGGGCCTGGCTCTGCCAATAAAGCACAGCAAGCTCCCATGAGATTAGGGTGTCAATGTCCCTGGTGTCCCTCTGCGCCGGCAGCGACTCGCTCGGGGTGCGCCTGGGGCCCGCGTCTCTCTGCTCACCTGGGCTTTCCCTGCTTCATGAGAACCCCCTGGACCCCACTCTGGAGTGCTCCACTGTGGATCGTGCCTCTCGGAAACGGGGCCCTATTCCATGAGTGCATGCCCTGCATGCAGTTTTGGGATTACGGCCACTAGTTTCCAGGCACTTCCTGTCTTCTCCCCCATCTGGGTATCAGCACCCCCTCAGCTCGCCAGGGTCTTCTTCTCAGTTTTATCCTTCTTTACCTGATATGCTGAAGATCCCTGAGTCACAAACTTCTGTTGTTCATCAAAAGTCCTGAATTTCTTGGCCATATTGTCCATCTGAGCCAGCAACTTCTGGTATTTCCCATACGCTGCATTGAAGTCATCCTTATAGCTCTGGTGTTGCCCATAGGAGAATATAGCTATGTATTTTCTAATGGGAAAAGGAGACTATTTGGATATTAATGTGTTCCGAGAGAACATTCTAATGTGCCTCTATTCTATAAAGCACACGTGCAATTTTACACCAAGCACGCGGTGAATGCAAGATAAGCGCAAACGATTTGCTGCCACAGTAAATGGCCTAAAGGTGTCCACTTACAGAGCTGGAGCGGTTGTAGCTCAGTGTGCCATGACACCTTGAATTAAACATCAGACATTGGCAAGGCCACAGGTTCTTCCCTAGAGAGGCAAGCCCCAAAACTGTGCAACAAGGAGAACACAAGGCTGCGGACTCCCATGGGATGTGCACATGGAGTTCTCCTGGGGCTATTTTCGGGAATAGAGTTCAGGAACTCCCCCTGTAACATCAAAGAGCGAGCTGCAAAACCATCATCCACCTGCTAAGCTGCCCACTATTCTTTCCTGAGTCTCCTACGGTATCCTAGTTCACTCTGATCCTGATGAGAATTGGAGCTGGACTAGATCCTAAACTGACCAGAAATCTTTCATTTCTGACAGAAGAGTATTTACGCTTTCCATGTTCTTCCATAGGAAAACTAACAGCTGAAAGAAAATCTGCCAGCGGGTGAAATGAGCATAAATTGGGCTTTGCTTTTGCCATCACGGGAGGTTTTGTTTTTCCACTGTAAACTCTCAGCTTGTTTCACCAACGTTCCCAGCTGTGTGTCTGACAGGTGAAGTTCTGTCTGCTGTTGCTGTTGGTGGGGCAGAGCATCTGCCACCTTCCTCCTTTGGGGATGTGTCTGGGAGCTTACTAAAGGGGAAATGGTGGGGAGAGTTCCAGTTGGGAGGTGAAGTGCACTGTTCTATTCTCAGATTTCAATTCACCTGCTGTCCGAAAGATAAAATTATTATCCACACCACGCAGCACCCACTCACCCCCTAAAAGCCCAATGGAAATCCAAACAAACAACCAAGTGGAGAAGCAAAAAGCAAAAAAACTCTCTGAAAAGATGAGCAGAATGTGTCAAGGCAAAACAGAGAGCTCGGAGGAGAAGGGCAATATATGATCAGTTTACTAAAGGCATGAACTCTCCAAGGCCCTCAGACAGACATTTTCCCTCCTACTTTCTTGTCTTTGTGCAGACTCTGCTTTACCACTTGCTGCACACACTGTAACCTGGTGAAAACTTCAAGACCTACATCTGGAGGCATTTTGAAGAAATCATTGATGGCTGCTCTCCATACCCTGCTGGTCCCTGAGATGTTATTATTTATATAATAATGAGTCATGCTAATAAAGATCCATGTTTCAGAGAACCATTCTTGAAAAGAAACTCATACAGGTAACCTTGATTGCAAGAGAACATGGCACAGACACACTTACAGGTACAGCATTTATAGGCCTTGCTTCAGGCTTCCCTAAATATGAAATGACACAGAAGGGACCAGAATGGTGCCTTATATGGACAGTCAAGAGATTGTTACCATTACCTGTCTTCTTGCATATTTTATTTGCTTGGTTTGGCCAGGAAATGACCATCACAAAAACCTGAAACTGAACAAGTAGATACTGAGAAATGGCTTGAAGAAAGAGGGTTGTGTGTATTTTACATATATGTGTATATATACATATACATACACACACGGTTTATATATATATATTTAAAGTGTGTGTGTGTGTGTATGTGCTATAAGGACGTTTTGGAGTAGGCAGTATAGAAGAGCAAGCAAGTACTAGCAGAGGAAAAGAACCAAACTAGTGGAGACAAACACTGAAACAGTAAATTATAATCTGAGCATGGCAGCCATGAGACCAGACATGGGCAGAAATGGATACGGTCTTGAAAATAAAGACAAGATTTCATGGCATGGAAAGTGAGCTCTGGAAGATGATGCCTTAAGCCCCTAATGGTTTTTTTATTTTCTAATATTTGTAAGACTTATAAATTTTATAGGTAGGTTTTAAAAGCAGAAACCCCTTTGTGCCTTGTTCCTTTCCCTTGTTTACACATTCCCTAACCCTCTTACCCCATTCTATGCCTTCTATATCAACCTACCCCTGAATTCAGTAGCAGTGTTTAGTCTTTTGTCAAGGCAAAGGCCTAGACTGTTTGGAGAACAGTGTATCAGGGCCTAAACCACAGAGTATGGTCAAAAACTAGGTAACAATGTACCCTTTGTACTCTGATGAAGCTGAAGATGATGAAGTAAGTGGTCCCAAAAAGACCCCAGACCCAATTCTCAGGGGGTGGACCCGGGGCGGTCCAGAGGAAAGGCCAAAGGGTGGACACATCTGGGATTGGATGGATAATGTTATAAAATGTAACCTCTCAGGCACAGCCGGGGCGCGCGCGTCTATATCACCTATTGCCTTGGTAAATAAACCCTTTCTTATCTCACCCCTAATTAACTGCTCTGGAGATTTTTTTCAGAACCAAAATACACAGGCAACAAAGATCATAGACCCAGCACGGGTCATCCCAAAGTGCCTCAGTGACCTCACAACCATTTGCTCTGCCTTGGAATGTGGAACTGCCCATTTCCAAGGACATGAGGCGGGACTGCTCAGAGCGTTTCACGCCTGGAGCAGGAACGCAGCAAGAGCGGCATTGGAGACAAACCGTCATTGTCAGAGCAAGAGCATTGTCCCAAAACAGGTTCTTGCACCCAGTGTGCAAAAGGCTGATCACACACAGTGTGGAGGTAATTGATTTATTGGCAGTTCTGCACAGAAAGGGGTGCAGATCCACAAAGCCAGCACAGTGACTGCCAATCCTTTCCCTGTTGGTACATTTTAGCAAACAAACGCATTAACGTTCATTGGGAACAAGTCGCTTTTTTGTAGTCATACTAATTGTATTCTATAGAATCATAGAATCATAGAATCGATTGGGTTGGAAAAGACCTCCGAGATCATTGAGTCCAACCCTTGGTCCAAATCCAGTCCATTTACTAGATCATGGCACTCAGTGCCACGTCCAATCTGCGTATAAAAATCTCCAGGGATGGTGAATCCACCACCTCTCTGGGTAGCCCATTCCAATGCCTGATCACTCTCTCTGTAAAGAATTTTCTCCTGATATCCAACTTAAATTTCCCCTGGCGGAGCTTAAGCCCGTGCCCCCTTGTCCTATTGCTGAGTGCCTGAGAGAAGAGACCAACCCCCACCTGGCTAGAACTTCCCTTCAGGTAGTTATAGACGGTGATGAGGTCACCTCTGAGCCTCCTCTTCTCCAGGCTAAACAACCCCAGCTCCCTCAGCCTCTCCCCATAGGACTTATGCTCCCGTCCCTTCACCAGCCTTGTTGCTCTTCTCTGGACCCGCTCCAGCACCTCAATATCCTTCCTGAACTGAGGGGCCCAGAACTGAACACAATACTCAAGGTGTGGCCTCACCAACGCAGAGTACAGGGGAAGGATCACTTCCCTGCTCCTGCTGGCCACGCAATTTTGATGCAGGACAAGATGCCATTGGCCTTCTTGGCCACCTGGGCACACTGTTGGCTCATGTTGAGCTTCCTGTCGATCAGCACCCCCAGGTCCCTTTCTGCCTGGCTGTTCTCCAGCCACTCTGTGCCCAGCCTGTAGCGCTGCATGGGGTTGTTGTGGCCAAAGTGCAGGACCCGGCACTTGGCTTTATTGAACTTCATCCCATTGGAATCAGCCCATCTCTCAAGTCTATCCAGATCCCACTGCAGAACCCTCCTGCCTTCCAGCAGGTCGACACTCCCTCCCAATTTGGTGTCATCAGCAAATTTGCTGATGATGGACTCAATCCCCTCATCTAAATCATCGATAAAGATGTTAAGCAGGACTGGACCCAACACAGACCCCTGGGGGACACCACTAGTGACCGGCCGCCAGCTGGATGCAGCTCCATTCACCAGCACTCTCTGGGCCCGGCCCTCCAGCCAGCTCCTAATCCAGGAGAGGATACACTTGTCCAAGCCATGGGCTACCAGCTTTTCCAGGAGTATCCTCTGTTGGTTAATGATTCTCTTGCTTCTCATGCTAATTAGTCTGCATGCTCAGTCTTTCTTGTCCTTGGAGCCCGTGGATTTCTTGGGCCAGTGGTCATGAGTCAGTGGTTGTGATCTGCTCTTGCAGGAATTACCTTGTACCCAGTCAGAGCTCATTCAGCACAGTTGCTGGGTTGTCTTTACTAGTTTCTTCCCTGTCTTGGGTGTTCTGCCAAATGTCCTGTGGCTCATAAATTCTGCATTCCTGGTGTCTACTATCACTGGTACATATTTCTTCCCAAGCCTTGTTAGCCTCCCTCTAGGTCTGAGATCATTGGAATATGTTGAACCTATAATAAGGCAATTCTACAGATGAGTAATTTGTCTTTCCAACACCTGGACATCACTTAGAGCTTGTTGGCTGCTTTCTCTTTCATGGATTAAATATCTCCTCTTGTTGATTGGGTTTGAAAGTATACAGAGATCAAACATCAATGAGCATCGTCCCGTAAGAAAAATTGTATGTTTTCCGCATTTTGCAATAGGAGCAGCTGGGAGCAAGAGCAGCAGAAGTGCAGTGGGAGCCCGAGTTGGCAGAGCTGTGGGACAGAGCGCAATCCACCATGTACTGGTGGAACAGGGCCTCAAACACCACCAGGATGCACATTGAGCTGAACAAGAGCTCCCAGGAGTGCCAGGTGAGGGGTGGGCACTGGGCTCTGTGGGTTGGCACAGGGCAGGGGTTAGGCTGTGGTTTTGGTATCCAGTGCCCACGGGACCCGCTGGGCAGGGCTGGGGCCTCCTCGTGCTCCGAGGGCCCCTCTGAACACAGCCATGCCGGTGGAAGTGGCCCACGGGGGACAGCACGGAGGCCCCAGTGGAAGTCAGAGATTCCCTGTGCTGTGACACTCAGTAAACTCGTGCTCTGGCTCAGCTCCCAGCCAAAATGCATGGATTTGTCCTTGTTCCATGGTCACACGAGCTGTGCTGTCTTGGCGGGAGAGGAGGCCCCATGGGTTGGCAGTGGCAGCGATTGCTGCTGGACTGCAGAAGGCTTGGCTCCAGCAGGTTTAAATGTGACTTGGGTGTTTGACCTTTGTCATTGTGGCCATGTGTCGTGGTGCCAGCATTCTTCCAGTTAATGTAAAGGCATTGACTCAGGACAAAGAGTCGTTCTTTTGAGAAGGGATGCCTTCCTGCAGCAGGGGCATTTGCAGGTGGGACATGAAGGGATGGAGGTGGGACATGGAGCAGTGGTGGTGGGACACAGTTCTGAGGTCAAAGCACTCCCTGGGGATGGGAGCCAAGCGTCGAGGAGCTTTGCCTCCTCATCTTGGGTATGTCAGACTATCATTTGTTTTATTAGTAGTTGACAAGAATATTAGCATTGGGGGAGGAATAAGGGAGGGAGAAGATACCATTTCTTTCTTTTATCTCCATTTTAAATGGTTGTGGTCTGCCAGCTCAAACATCTGTCCAGTGCCAGAAGGGGAGGACAGGACTGATGGTCTGTAGGTGGTGATACCTTAATACTCAGCTCCATTGCTGACCCAGTTCAATGCTGACTGTGCCACTGAAGATTTGCAATGAAGGTTTAAAATCAGGACTTGGAATTTTCAGATCTGACACCCAAAACTACCAGGTTGCATTACTTTCTGTTACCGCTTGTAGAATAGTAGCAGTGCCTCCTTATAGTGAATAGCTGGAAAAATACTCTGGTGTTTGGGAAGTGCTCTTGGTGTAAGATGAGTTCTGTGTCTCTAGGGTTTGTACAGCAACCCAGCTGTGAAGCTGTGTGCTAAGGTTTTGTAAATGTTTCCTGCCTACTGAGTACTATCTGGATTGTCTGAAGACACTGTATGTTAGAAAAAAACAAACCTGCAATCAAACAATTTAAAAGTAATTCTTGAAGTAATTCAGGACACACAGAGGGAGGCTAAATTCCTGTTGTATGTCCATATTCATGTCTTTGAATGGCTCTCCTACCCCACAGCATGGTGCTTTCAATATATTGGAAGAAATTGCAGGACAATTTGAGGACGTAGAATTTAAAATGACATTTTAAAGTAGGCAGCAGAGGGTAAAGAGCATTCCACACTCATCCGGAAGTGCTGCAGCCTGGCCGGTGGTGACACTGGGGCCAGCTCAAAGCACAGCACAGATGTCAGACCGCAGTGCTGGTGCATATGTGAGCGTCTGAGCTGTGGGGTTTACTGGGAAAACTGCCCCTGCCCAGGGATGAAAGGCAGGAGGCAGGAAGAGAGTGTTCCTGAGCCACAGAGCCCGCTCCTGTTGATCCTCTCACCTGCCTGCCTTGCCCCAGGTTGCACAGGTGCTTGGTCAGAGCTGGCCAGAGTTTGTCTGAGTCTGTTTGAAGTCTTGACTTTTTTGTTGTTGGTTAACAGCAGGAGCTTATTCTCATTTGAGAAGACTTAGAAGGGCTCTCTGCCTTCTATCATTTCAAAAGAGCTTGAAGCAAGAAATCTTCATAATTTTATCCTAAAATCTCAAATTTCAAAACATGAAAACTTTAAGACTTAATTTTTACACAACATCTCTCCTTCCACTTACTTCTGTAGCCTGTGCTAAGACCTTTTTTTCCTTTTTTTTGAAGTTGAAGAGGATCCTGTACCAACTCAGGCCTTCCTTTCTGGGATTTCCTTTATCACATCCAGGCTGGCATCTTCCTAAGTTTCTCTGTGTATAGATGAATAGGTTTGGTGTCCTTGCTGCCCTGTGCACTGCTATCCTTACTGACACTTGTCTCTGCCCTTTGGCACTAAATGGAGCTGCACCAAAGCAGTTTTGGTCCGTGTTATAGCCAGTGATGCTCCAGGGAAGGAGGACCCTTTGGCGAATGCCTTGCTGTGTGCTTCCTGCAGTGATGTTCAAGAGGATGATCTAGAAGAAAACTTTTTTTATTATTATTTTAGTTGTTATTTTTAATTTCTTCTGTAGTTCCTTGCATGACTGGGGCTTTGCATCTGTGCAGGACTGTAACAGTCAAATGCCCTGGTTGGCTGGCCCAGAGAAAGCAGCAGGAACATACTGGTGGAGCCAGGCTTCTTCCTGGCAGCCACTCCGTAGGTTCGCTTCACTAACTTTTAAGACATTCAGGCACTTGAAAGCAGGGAGTCCCTACATAACTCAGTTGAAAAATCTGCCGGTGAGGGAAGATTCTTGGGGTTGATGAAATTTGCCTTGGAGTTGTATGCAGCCGTAGATGAAATTTGTTTCTTTGGGGAAGCTTATAACAGAGGCAAAAGAATCAAGTTTCCTGCAGCTGCCACCAGTGAGGAATAATCTGCTCAGTCCCTCCTCTATCTTTTCAGTGCTGATCTAGAAAACAGTCTTTCTGCATCTCTGTCAGCCTGGAGAGATGCATTTGACATCAGTGGTAAGACTTCCTGCATGCTTCTGTTAAAATAATGCCCATTTTGTAGGCTAAACAATCAATTACTCAATTTCCCAAACTGGAAAATACTTCTGTAATGGCTGCTTGTAAGGATACAGGAGATACAGTAGGATATAGTAGACCAGCAGTGGGACTGGGAAAATAACGTGGTGGAAACATCTGGAAAGCAGATCAAGAGCAGCATAGTCCCATGTGCAAGTCTCACATCATTGTCCTGCAGTTCAACCTGCTGTTTCTTGTTGCTGTAGTTGCATTGGTGCTACCCTGTATTGCAGAAGTGTCGTACTGCGGGTTTGTTTGGTGGGATGTTGGACCTGGCAGATATTTTCTGTACAGCTACTTCCCCGTGGTAGGTTTTTGCTTGAAATGAGATCCCTGGCACAGCCTCTTGTGAAGGATATTCTACATCTCTTTTCAGACTCCCATTCCCTTTTTACAAGGCTTTTTTCAAGACATTTTAATGATTTTTAAGCTCCAGCAGAAAGCAGCACCTTCTGTACTAACTGATTGGTGCAGCCAAACAAACCAAGGCTTTTAGGTCTGACTAACCATTTCACATTTATGCAAATAATTGCATGTAGAGCTGAGGAAAACAAAAAGGGTTTTTGCGCCTGTTGAAATTGGCATTCATCTTTTCTAGTTGTAGTCCTTGTTGAAGCTGACTCCAGTATGTGTTTTCTTGGGATCAAATAAATCCCAGAGTTGGATGCTGCCCCAACTTTGTGATTTATTTCCCAACTGCTCTCCTCTCATTTGTAAGCTGAGCTCCAGCCAGTTCGATTGTACTCAAGCACTTGCATTTCAAGAGAAGTATATGCCTATTAATTCTGGGAAGCGGGAAGGGATGACTTGCTAATTAAATGCCTTGCTGAATTAGAAGCTGAGTGACTGCTGCTATCTCAGTGGTTTTGTGGTCAGCTGCTTTCAGAGGGAGAATTGTGACAGAGCAGCTCTTTTTAGTGACTGAAATAGTAGCAAAATCTTCAAAATACAGTTATCCATTTAAAATTATGGGCCTAGTTAATCACCAGCAATGGAGTGTAGACTGAAGTTTTCACAGAAACTATTTTTATCTTTTAGCCAAATGAAGTGCATGCATTTAACTTCCCTTTGTCAAATGCTGGCAAAGATAATCCTCAGGGAAGCTTTGACTGTGTCCAGCAAACAGGCTCAACGTAAGTTTTGCTTCATGTTTTCTTTCATGGCACATTTCAGTGGATTCTGTGGCTTTGAGCATATGGTGAAAACCTTTACAGGAGCATGTTCCTGGTGATGACTGCAGTAGGAAATGAATTCCCAGCAATACGTGGCTTCTTGCTAGTTACAAACACTTGCTTTTCTGTAGAATTCTTTTTGGTTTTGTTCCTAAAAAAAAAATTACCTTCTGAGTACTTTCCCCCCTCTTAGTGGTATTTTTCAAAGGTTTTGGAGCTCAGGATGGTCCAAGCTTGACCAGATCCATTCTACAACTGTATGTCAATATGATTATGGTTGGCAGCATGCTGGCCTTGATGGAGAGTTGTCTTATCTTAACAGCCACAAAAACGGTATCTGAAAGGGCCCAGGCTTCCAAGGCTGGGAAAAAGCAAGCAGCAGGAGTTTAAGTTAGGAGGGAGAGGTCCTACCTCCACTCCTGGCCTGCCTATCCTGGGCACCTTTGAGGGCACCTTCTTCTTTGGGAAGGATGGCTTGAATGAAACTGTATTTTTTATGTCAGATTAAATTGATTTAGCTAATTTAGCTCTAAATAATTCTGGCTTGGAAGCCTAGGTAGTTTTAATGAGGTTTTGCTAATTTTCCTCAAAATCTAGTTCTGACCAGCTTTCACGGGCCCTGTGTAGGCAGCACTCAGTTTGTGCAAAGTACCTGCAAAGTTAAGGCAGAACTTGCAGTAGTGTTACGCACAGAGCCACTTAAAAAATGGCTTTTTTTTTTTTTTCTGTTGTAAATATGGCGGTTTTGGAGCGAGGGATCAATCCATAGTCCTTGGCTATGGACAAAACTGGAACTGTATCATGTTGAAATACTGGGCAGTGGCCTTGTGCAGCTTTGTGACTTTCAGAAAGGACGTGATAAATTGAGACTCAGGTTGTTGATGCTTTTTCTTGGAGCCTTAATTGGGCATTTTAGAGTGGTTGAAGCATTTCAGGTGAGCTGAAGCTGGTGTCCTGTCCTCGGTCAGGGCCGTTGCCGTGGCAGGTGCCACACAGGAGGCTTGGTAAAGGGCAGTGGGAGTGAGGGCAGCACCCAGGAAGGCTCCAGGGCAGGATCTGCCTGCCAGGAGAGTGCTGGGGCAGCTGCCCGAGTGCTGCCTGTGGCTGTCACTGCAGCGGTTCTCAGGAGAACAAGCAACACAGCCCTGCAGTTGTGTGAGGAAATTGTAACCACACTGACAGGTAAAACTGGCAAAGTCTGAACATGTAGAGGCAGTTGGAAATCTGTTTACGTCCTAGCTTGCTGTCAGAACGGGGAAATGTTTTTCTTCCCCTGTGAAGACCAGTTTTAACATTCCTGATACAACCATACTTCTCATGCTGAAGTAGTGCCTGAAGGGCTCAACATTTTTCAATGTTTTTATAGTTACGGAGCGTTGCAATTCAAACTCCCGACTCAGGCAGAAAAGGCATCACGAAATCAAGGTGCAGAGGTTACTGATGGACCTGATGGGCCATTTTCAGGTATGGTTGCTTTTCATTTTTTATTGGATGTCTGTAAGTTTTAAACCTAGTAATTAATTTCTGTGGTGTTTTCTTGGAACAAGTGATGCGTTCAGACATCTCAGGTGAATATCATTCATTATTGAACTGTTCTGAGCACTGTTTCCCCAAGAAGCCTTGTGTCTCCAGGCAGACACAAGGTGGACATGCACCTTACAGGCTCTCAGTGGTACCAGCAGCAGTGGTCCTGCCTGCAGCAGTGAGCTGAGCCAGGTACATCCACCTTCACAGAGTAAAATAGGCTCTCACTTGGCTCTGGCTGCAGTCGCCTGCCAGCAGGGACATCCCTGACAATGAAAGTGCAGCTCTTGCTCTGTCTGTACACGGCAGAGCATTTTAAACTAGCATTGTCATGGCTTTTTGGAAAGAGAAAATTAAGCATGTGTGGCCTTGACTCCAAGGGAGCTTGTCTGGGGTTGATTGTAGGAGGTGCTGCTGGTACTGCTACCCCTGTTTTTTGAACTGCTCCGTAATGCAGTGTGAGAGGAACCACTTTCATGTGTTTCAGAACTTCTCATTGGGGAAGTTCTGTTTGACATTGAATGATATGTGTGATTCTTGGTGGTGGTGTAAATAGATCTCAAGTGAATATTTAACATTCAGTAATTGAGGTCTGAAGACTTGCAGCAGTAAGGCAATTGTGGTATTGGGGGGGTACTTTTGTTTTGGGCTGGCATTGAGGAAACTCAGGTAGGACAGGTCTAGTTGCTGGTAGGACATAGGGCAACATGCTCCATGCAGTACCAGTTAGGAACTGGGGTTTGTCACAGTATCATAGAATATACTGAATTGGAAGGGATCCACAAAGATCATCAAGTCCAGCTCCTGGCTCCAAGAATCCCACCATGTGCCTGAGAACACTGTCCAAGTGCTTCCTGAACTCTGGCAGACTTGGTGCCATGATCACTGTTCTGGGGAGCCTGCCAAGTGCTTGACTACACTTGGGTTGAAGAACTCTTTCCTAATTTCCATGTAAATGCTTCGATATGGTTTCAGGTTATTTTTTCTTCAGGGACATGACATTAGGAAGTGCTTTGTTTGACTGCTGTGGGAAGTTTCTGCATTATTCAATTACCATTGAATTTAACTTCTCAAAACATTAGCAGTGCCTTCAATAGACAACTGGCAAGTTTACAGTGTTCTACAAAATTTAACTGTGTGTGTTTGAGTGATTAGGTTTGCAGTTGAACACCAGAAAGGCAGAGTCCAGGGAGCAGCCAGCGTGGAAAGGTATTAAAGGTTTGCCCTCCATTACAAAATTGAAGCACTTCATAGGAACAGGTCAGTCTCTGTGTGCCTGATACAAAGAGAGAAGGCTCCCTGTTTTGTCACCATTACTCATTTAGCATCTTTCAGGTACCAAACACAAGTTAGTGGTTTCAGACAAGTGCCTGCTGTGTCATATCCTCTCTCTCAGCCTACTGGCCCCAGCTCTGCTGGTGCAGCCCTGGACAGAGTTGTCTTTCTGGGCTGCCAATGCACATTGCCGGCCCCTGTCCAGCCTCAAGTATCACTCATTTATGAGCATTTTTTAATGACTGTTTGTTTGTTAACACCCAACTCGATGCATCTTTACTATCTGAATCCTTACAGACCTGGAAATACTGAACAAACACAGGTTTATCAGTCCTGGTAAATACTTTTAAACCAACTTCCTTGCCTTCTCCCAACCTCCCATATGACACATTTTTTCCCTCCCTTTTGGCCTTATTTTAGAAAGAAAAACAGAGATCAGAAGAGTCCCACAAAGCACTCCAGATCCCGTGCCTGAGAGGAAAAGAACAACACCCATGAACCCTGCAAACATCTTCCAGAGAATTTCCAGTGGAGTTTCTGACCAACCATTCAAGGACAGGGTAATTCACTTGTTGGCTCTGAAGAATTACAAGAAGCCAGAGTTACTTAATCACTTGCAGAGAGATGGAATAATGCAAAAGGACAGGGATTCCCTTGAAATGATCCTTCAGCAGGTGAGATCCTGAAGTTTGTGCCAGCAATTTTTCCCTCCTGCTATTCTTTTATTCCTAATTCCTACCTGTGTCACTCCAGTGTTTAAATTAGAAACTGATGAGCAACTTATGAGCTCTTTGTTTAAGGTTTTCGATAAATTTTATCCATATGGGCCAAACTGCAAGTCCACGAGAGGAAAGGAAAGAAAGATTGAAAACTTTTGGGGCAGAGGTTTTTTTTGCTAGAATGGCAGGCATTAATTATCTCTTTCTAATGTTGTTGCCGCAAGTCTTTTCTTTTGTGTCTCTTTTCCTTGGACTGTTCTACTGCTTAATGGAGAGGAACTGCCCAGGGGTTCTCTTGACTGTGGGAAATAATTTGTTGTGGTACTTTTTTTTCAGCTTTAATTTAGCTTTGCAGTAGCAGTTTTTGATCTGCAGTTTGCATTTAGATGTAATGAACATTTAGTTTCTTAATTATCTTCCTGTAGGTAGCCAACCTGAATGCAAAGGATAATTCCTTCAGTCTGAAGGAACATTTATTTAAAGACATTCAGAAAGACTGGCCTGGCTACACTGAAGTAGACAGACAGGTTTTGGAGATAAGACTTTCTAGGTAAGTTCAGTCTGTAGGGGAAGGATGAGAGCCATTTCAGAAAACTTCCTGGGAAATGAAGGTCTATCTTCCCTCTAGGGAAAGAAGTATGACAATAGATATTTTTGGCTAGTAACCTGAAATGTTGGGCCATCCTTACAGAAAATCAGCTTCCTCTCAAAATGCCACCAGCACCAGCCATTTGACACCTCGGGGACCTTCTGATACAGATGCTCCATCAAGAACTTCTGAGGTATTTGGTGCATTTCTTAAACATTCTGTACAGAGCGTTAAGATATTTTTACCACACTTTCTATTGGTGTAACAGCTGTGATGTGAAGCACTAATCTTGTTTTTAGAGTATAAACACACCTGAAGCATTTCTTTCTAATGGGATTCCTGTAATCTTTTAAAGATGGTTGTTGCAGCGTCAAAGACTGCAAAAAACTTGCAGATGTGATTTGTTTACTGTGATGCACAGGAAGCTCTGCTAAAGACAAGATGTGTTTGTGTCTTTGGTACCTGGTTGTGTCTGTTCAAGGTTCTTTGTGATCTGGCAGCTCTAGGCCATAAAACACACCCAAACATCCTTGTGGTACTGTCTAAATAGAAATCTTAGCAAAGACTAGAATAAGGACAAGTTACAGTAGTGATCCACTTGGAGGAATATTGTTTTTCCCCCTCTAGGCAGCATTTAAGGCCCAGTTTTGGTTCAGTGGAGCCCATGTGTGAAAAGTTGGAAGCTTTCTGAGCCTCAAACTGCACGTCAGTGCACGCAGTGTACAGAAATAAGCTGGGAAGTACAGAAAGCCTTCCACCATGGAGAGAATTGCCTTGGAATAGAGGAGGGAGGACACAGCTTTATTTTTCCCTCACTCCCTTCTAGTCATAGCAGGAAATGGTGCAGGTCCCAGCAACCTCTTTTGACCTGTCTCTCTCCACACAGAATGTGGACTTCTTTCAGCAGCTGGCGCAGAGCCATGTCTGGCACTCCTGGCCCCAGCTTCCAATGTACATGGATGTGAGCAGGGATGCTTGGTAGGGAAGAGGATATGAACCAGCACTTCAGCTGGAGTACAGCTGGAAGGACAGCTGTAGCCAGACTGGAGCTTTTCCCTATTCTTCCCAGCTCTGCACTTGACATGCTGTGATCAGCACCCACCGCCTGCTTCCCAGGGCCGCTTTAGTAAATCGTGTGGCTGTGTGACAGCAAAAGTAGAGTCTTACCCCCGTGTGTCCAAGTGGAAATTGGGACCTAAACAAAACTGACCCAATCTCCTTGTTTTGAGGAAGCCTTTGATAGAGCTGCTGCAAGGAGTATCTTTCTCCCAAAGCCTTTCAGCTGTTGAGGAAGGACTTTTTATATCCCAAGATGAGAAACTAGGAATGATATAAACCGCATATTTAGCAGCAATATTTCCTTGTTTGACAGCTCTGTGTAGCTGAGAATGATGTGTTTTCAACACTTGCCTGTTCAGAAATGCTTCTTTCTCAGAATGGGAGCAAAGCCTAATTCTGATCATATATTAGTTATTTTGTTATTATTACAGAAACGGCCTCTGGATTCCAATTTCACCTTCCCTGTGGTGAGCAAAAAGCAGAGGATTGGTCGCCTGGCCAGTCGAGTCCAGCCAGCAGCCGGTGGCCTCAGTCCTGCTTCCTCAACACTGCCTCCCACAGACCTTCCAATTTCTAACACATCTGAAACTGTCAGCTCCATTTTCCTCTGCACCTCTGAGGTGCAACAAAAGGATATGCCTCAGACTCCTTTTGGAATCCCAGCACCTGCCCTGATGCAGGGGGAGTCTCTCAAGCCTAGGGAGAAGAAAGAAGACAGAAAGAGGCTGAAAACATCTCAGCCTTTGGATTTCGCTGAAGGTATTAATGCCCTGATTTTCTTAACTCCTGTGAGGGTAAACCCTGGTGAAAAGGGAGCACTGAAACCAGGGACTGGATATATGAAGGCTCTGCTACGTATTAGTGCTCTACTATTATCCCTGCTTCATGGTAATGAAAAATTCAGACTTTTTTATGCAATTGTACTACACTGTAACTGTTATCTTAAATGACAACATTACCAAAACTCAGAAACTGTTCTCCTGGAACCTTATCTAAAATGATGTTCATTTGTAAGAATTCTTCCTCTGTAGTGCAAGAACGAAGTAATATTAAATGGATTGCTGTTAGGCAGAAACTGGCTAAAAGGAAGAGCTGGGAATAAGGAATGGATTTTTTTTCCCACTTGATTTCCAGTAAACTGACAGTTGACTGAAACTCCACATTTTCCCTCTCAAGTTTTAAAGTCTACATACTGGATACAAACTTGTCACACACTCCTTGGAGACCAATTTACTGAAACACATGGATCAGACATCAGTGATTTCTTCATGGTTATCAAACTGCCGTTTTACAGAAAGTCCAAAAGCTACGTAACCTGGCCTGTGGTTTACTGGAGTTCAGATTTGAACTGTACCAAGAGCTTCTCTCCATCTTAGCTGCAGAATTTATTTCTTCTAAAGCTGTAGAAATGGTTCAGGCTCAAAATGACATTGAAAAGCTGAACAGAAGTGCACAATGAACACTTGATTTCTTAACATGGGGACACACCCAGCAGGACAGAGTTCAGTTCCTTTGTTAAATCTGTGTGTTGTCTTGTTTTAGAGATTGGACTCGCAAATTAGAAGTCGAGTTTAGCCTTTAGAGTGTGCAGCTGCCTCTTGGAAGTGGTGGTGTTCTTGTAGAAACGGGTGCTTTGGGATGGTCTTTCCACATTTACTCTGGGCATACGCACGGTGCCCACAAACCTTGGGATTGCTTTGGAAGCATTTGTGCTTGAGTCTAAAAACGTGTGAGCATCCTTCTTCAGGAACCAGTAACAAAATTCTGAACAGCTGGAGAAGGAAAAATCTGTACTGTGTTTCAAGTTGGTGCTTGCCCTGAAGCTTCTGCGTGGACTGAGCTATGTCAGCAAGTGCACTTGAGTTTTTGGAAATGAATCACTCGCAGCAAAGCTGTTCACACAAGTTATATTGTACGTACCGGGACTATTAATATTCCTGTTTGTATTTCTGTCCAGTTTTTTTACATTTCCTTTTATAATCCTTCTATACCATGTCATAAATTGAATACTAAATTCAAAAGAATCAAGTGGAGCATCACATGATAGCTCTTTTCTCTCCTCAAGACTTAAAGCTCAGACAGCTTAAAGACTGGCAAGAACGGCTGAGCTTTAGCAGGACAACTGTGTGTATAGTGGCAATGTAAGCTGATAACAAATGTAAATGTGTTTTTAAGCTTGCCACAAAACCCCAAATGAGAGGCAGAGAGAGATTATGAAGATCCCAGAGTGTTCCTTCTTGTTCCAACTCACCTTTCCTTACAGCAGCTCTTTTTCTTATTTATCTTAGTCTGAAATAGTCCGTTGAAAATAGAAGTTGGAGGTTAAGTGTGCGGTGCTTCCTCCTGCCATTTAAAAGAGCAAAAGAGCAATTTACAAGTGCAGACCATTTTCCAACCCAGCCTTGCCACGTAAAGGAGCACTCAGTGTTTGCTGCAGGTTATTGGAGCCTTAGTGCCAGTAGCCCCCATCCAGTGTGACTGACTTTCCTGCTTAAAAGAGTGCTGAAATTCAGCCAAACTTTGGGTATCTGTAATTGTCAGGGAAAGAAAGAATAAAAACATGGCATGAGAAGGACTTCAGCTTTCTCCTTGCTAGAACCTCGATATTGATCTCTCTCTGTCTCTCTCTGTTGTCTTTTGTGCAGCTACATCTGTTGCTGCACAACATGAATGGCTGTGCAGATGCCACCTCATGCCTTCAAATAAGAAAAACTGAGCTGGAGTTAACACTGCGCTAGTGCAGAACCTGTAGAATAAAGTGGCCATGCCTCTTTCTATACCTGGTACTGCCAATTGTGGAGCTCTGTTACTAACTTACGCAGCTTCTTCCAAGTAATTTACAGTGAGAACAAAGTTCTGAAGGACTTTTTCAAGCCCATCCAGTTGGTACTGTTTGATTGTATTAAAAATCTTCATCGCAAGTGTCAAAATTCTGCTTTTCTGTAGGAGTTAAAGAAACTTGCACTGCCTCCACAGACACTGCGTCATCAAGGGAACAACCAGGTGACTCCATGTGAGTAAAATAACAACTCTCTTGCCACTCATCAGAGCAGGTAAAAACTCACCTATGGAAACTCTTGTATAGCTAAAAAAAGTCAGATGTGACCAACATGCAGTGCTGGAATAAGGACTAGTTTCTTTCACTCACCCAGCTGCCTCATTGAAATACCTTCAAGTTTTAAACTGTGAGGTTGTCCCACAGTTACTGCAGGAGAAAGAAGTGTTAAAAAGAATTTCTCATGTACTTCAGAAGAAGACTTTAAACATTTAATTTCAGTCTTCTTCAAGCAGACAAAAAGGGTATATAAACCTGCAGTGTTTTGTATTTAGACGTGAGGCAATGCAGGAGGAAAGCTGAATGCTAAAATACTGAATGTGTAAATTTGAAACTCTTTCCTGTGTTTGGACCGCTTAGTGTATCTAAGCTGGAGAGGTGGGGAGGGGAGACTGCAAGCTGTAAAGTCCACCCTTCCAAAGAGCCTTTATGAGCTAACAGGAGTTAACCACGGAAGATATTTCAAACTAACTTGAAGCTACAGCAAAATATCCAATTTCACCATAGAATTGCAGACCAAAGATCTAGAGAAAATAGAAAAGCCTCAATTTGCAGACATGTAAAACTGGCACTGTAGATGTGTAGAAACATTTGGAAATCTAGTTACAGCCCAGCTCACTGTCAGAACTGAAAAAGATTTTTCTTCACCTCTTAGGACAGGTTTTTAAGTTCCTGATACAACTGTACTTCTAGACCTGAAGTAGTTTCTGAAGGGCTCAACCTTTTTCACTCTTTTTATAGCTGTGGAGCCTTGCAACTCAATGACCCAGATTCTGTCCAGGATAAAGTTACAGTAGGCGGAACAAGCAATAACGATGAGATGACCAGAGAGCGCCTGACCCAGGCAGAAAAGGAGACATGCGGTCAAAATACAAAGGTCATTAAACCTCATGGACGACTTTTAGGTATGGCTGGATTTCATTTTTTACTGGATGTCTGTAGGTTTTTAAACTCATGTCCAGCCTCTCATCCAGCATCACCTCCGAGTCCTTCTTGGCAGGGCTTCTTTCAGTCCCTTCATCCTCCAGCCTGGATTGATACCAGGGGTTGCCCCGACCCAGGTGCAGCGCTTTGCAGTTGGCCTTGTTGAACCTGATGAGGTTCCCAGGAGCCACTTCTCAAGCTTGTCCAGGTCGCCCTGGATGGCATCCCAGCCCTCTGGTGTAGGCAGACTTGCCAAGGGTGCACTTGATCCCACTGTCTCTGTTGTTCTTGACATAGCTCAGTGCTTGAGCTTACAAACTGGAAAAATAATAAAAGCACCATCAATAGAAAGAATCTATATAAAGAACCTTCGCTCCAGTATCACTCATGTATCAGTGTTTTTAATGACTATTTGTTTGTTAATGCCCAACTTGGTGCATCTTCACTACCTGGCTTCTTACAGATCTATAAATGCTGAACAAATACAGGTTTATCAGTCTTGGTAAATACTTTTAGACCAACTTCCTTGCCTTCTCCCAATCTCCCATGTGACACATTTTTTTTTCCCCACGTATTTTAGGAAGAAAAGCAGAGGTCAGAAGAGTCCCACAAAGCACTCCAGATGCTGTGCCTGAGAGAAAAGGAACAACACCCATGAACCCTGAAAATGTCCACTGCAGTCGTTGCAATGCTGTGTATCGCAGACCATTCAGGGAAAGGGTGATTCACTTGCTGGCTCTGAGGAATTACAAGAAGCCAGAGTTACTTAATCACTTGCAGAGAGATGGAATAATGCAAAAGGACAGGGGTACCCTTGGAAAGATCCTTCAGCAGGTGAGATCCTGAAGTTTGTGCTAGCAATTTTTCCCTCTTGCTATTTTTTTATTCCTAATTCCTACCTGTGTCATTCCAGTGTTTAAATTAGAAACTGATGAGCAACTTATGAGCTCTTTGTTTAAGGTTTTCGATAAATTTTATCCATATGGGCCAAACAGCAAGTCCACGAGAGGAAAGGAAAGAAAGATTGAAAATTTTTGGGGCAGAGGTTTTTTTTTGCTAGAATGGCAGGCATTAATTATCTCTTTCTAATGTTGTTGCCGCAAGTCTTTTCTTTTGTGTCTCTTTTCCTTGGACTGTTCTACTGCTTAATGGAGAGGAACTGCCCAGGGGTTCTCTCGATTGTGTGAAGTTGTTTGTTGTGGTACTTAATATTTCTTGTGACAAGTTTCTGAGCAGAGAAGTTTGGTAGTTGCATAGGCCAGTATTTCATCTGAATGGAGCTGGTGGCCTGTCAGTGGTACTTGACTTCTCCTGGGATCTGTTGGGGTTGACTTCCAGGGAAGGGTGTTCCAGGCAAATCCTAACTGGAAAAGGTGGAGGTCAGATTTTAAGCACAGGTTTCTTTGCTGTCATGTGGATTGTGTCTTCATCTGCCTTGAAACCTTTTTTTATTGAGTAACTTTTCCAGTGCTCCTTTTGAGTTCAGTTGTGCTTGCATTTCTTTATCAGAGCCATTCATAAGATGCCTATGGATTCATAAAAATGCAGTTGCTATTTTGTTCCTTTCTAAATATTCCCTTTAGTCATAGGCTGTGGCTGAATCATGCAAGCATTAATATGTCAAGTAGTTCTTCTTTATCAAGGAAAAAAAAGTGTTTTGGAACATAGCAGGGGAGTAAACTTCGACATTTATACAGTTTGGGTTGATCCTACACTGAATTTTCAGCATCTCCTCCTGGGACCTGTTAGGTTTGTTGCGTTGTTTGCCCTGGGGAAGGGCAGGTTTTTTCACCCCGAAGACAGACACAATTTAGTGAGAGCCATGTTCTTCCATCCAAATTGAAGCAGTCCATTTATACTTCAAGTTGAGTATAAAATTCCAAAAGCTCAGCTCCCTACAGGATAAAAAGTGAAAAAATTTTCTCCTGTCCCATTATGTTTGGCAATGATTAAGGAGATTATCTTGGACTTGGTTTCCTTTATAAGGGATGATCTTCCTCAGGGTCCTGGTTTGTATTCCAAAAGGGTCATGTCAGCAGCACTACACCCTGAAAAGTCTTGCTCACATTTTTCTTACCTTCAAAAGCAGGTAGCAGACCTTTTTTTCTATAAATCTGAAACCAGAAGCCTGAGCCTGAGTATTCTCTTTGAATACAACTTTAGTTGTGTTTTTCAGAAGTCAATTACTATTTCTGGATATCTTTATTACTTTTAATTTTTTTAAATCTGTTTTGGTTTAGCTCTAGGTAGGTTATCCCATACAGTTGTTCAGTAAGAAGCTGTAGTTTCCTCCGGGCAGGCACTTGAGAAAGAAAAGCTGTTTTGTTTGGGGACGCAACTGACAACATCCTGTGATTGCTCATGGGATGATGAAAACATGCCTCATTCCAGGCACAGCCTGTGCTCTGCCATAGCCCTGTAGCTGTGTAAAACAAGAAGGCAGCAGGTGTCCTCCTCAAGTTGGACAAATCTGGACTTATACATGCAGATAGTGTTCTTCAGTTCTTAGAGAAAAAAAAAAGTAAATAGAAAGGAAAAACCTGCCCTCTCATTGTATTTCAAATGGCAAAGACTGAAAGTCTTGGCACAGTTTGCCTTCATTCTCAAAGCTGTATTAAAGACCAAAAATCCAAACACAGATACCTGGTGCAGAGAGAGGTTTTCAGAGAGTACATTTCATACAGACTTACAGCAATTTGAGATTTTCTTACACCAGACTTTTTGCATCCCAAGTGGACCACACATTTAAAACTGGTGCTTCTCATGAGAGAGCTAGTTTGATCTTCATATCCAAAAAAACCCCTGGAAAACTGGTGCATGACTTTATTTTCAGCTTTGATTTAGTTTTACAGTAGCAGTTTTTGATCTGCAGTTTGCATTTAGATGTAATGAACATTTAGTTTCTTAATTATCTTCCTGTAGGTAGCCAACCTGAATGCAAAGGATAATTCCTTCAGTCTGAAGGAACATTTATTTAAAGACATTCAGAAAGACTGGCCTGGCTACACTGAAGTAGACAGACAGGTTTTGGAGATAAGACTTTCTAGGTAAGTTCAGTCTGTAGGGGAAGGATGAGAGCCATTTCAGAAAACTTCCTGGGAAATGAAGGTCTGTCTTCCCTCTAGGGAAAGAAGTATGACAATAGATATTTTTGGCTAGTAACCTGAAATGTTGGGCCATCCTTACAGAAAATCAGCTTCCTCTCAAAATGCCACCAGCACCAGCCATTTGACACCTCGGGGACCTTCTGATACAGATGCTCCATCAAGAACTTCTGAGGTATTTGGTGCATTTCTTAAACATTCTGTACAGAGCGTTAAGATATTTTTACCACACTTTCTATTGGTGTAACAGCTGTGATGTGAAGCACTAATCTTGTTTTTAGCGTATAAACACACCTGAAGCATTTCTTTCTAATGGGATTCCTGTAATCTTTTAAAGATGGTTGTTGCAGCGTCAAAGACTGCAAAAAACTTGCAGATGTGATTTGTTTACTGTGATGCACAGGAAGCTCTGCTAAAGACAAGATGTGTTTGTGTCTTTGGTACCTGGTTGTGTCTGTTCAAGGTTCTTTGTGATCTGGCAGCTCTAGGCCATAAAACACACCCAAACATCCTTGTGGTACTGTCTAAATAGAAATCTTAGCAAAGACTAGAATAAGGACAAGTTACAGTAGTGATCCACTTGGAGGAATATTGTTTTTCCCCCTCTAGGCAGCATTTAAGGCCCAGTTTTGGTTCAGTGGAGCCCATGTGTGAAAAGCTGGAAGCTTTCTGAGCCTCAAACTGCACGTCAGTGCACGCAGTGTACAGAAATAAGCTGGGAAGTACAGAAAGCCTTCCACCATGGAGAGAATTGCCTTGGAATAGAGGAGGGAGGACACAGCTTTATTTTTCCCTCACTCCCTTCTAGTCATAGCAGGAAATGGTGCAGGTCCCAGCAACCTCTTTTGACCTGTCTCTCTCCACACAGAATGTGGACTTCTTTCAGCAGCTGGCGCAGAGCCATGTCTGGCACTCCTGGCCCCAGCTTCCAATGTACATGGATGTGAGCAGGGATGCTTGGTAGGGAAGAGGATATGAACCAGCACTTCAGCTGGAGTACAGCTGGAAGGACAGCTGTAGCCAGACTGGAGCTTTTCCCTATTCTTCCCAGCTCTGCACTTGACATGCTGTGATCAGCACCCACCGCCTGCTTCCCAGGGCCGCTTTAGTAAATCGTGTGGCTGTGTGACAGCAAAAGTAGAGTCTTACCCCCGTGTGTCCAAGTGGAAATTGGGACCTAAACAAAACTGACCCAATCTCCTTGTTTTGAGGAAGCCTTTGATAGAGCTGCTGCAAGGAGTATCTTTCTCCCAAAGCCTTTCAGCTGTTGAGGAAGGACTTTTTATATCCCAAGATGAGAAACTAGGAATGATATAAACCGCATATTTAGCAGCAATATTTCCTTGTTTGACAGCTCTGTGTAGCTGAGAATGATGTGTTTTCAACACTTGCCTGTTCAGAAATGCTTCTTTCTCAGAATGGGAGCAAAGCCTAATTCTGATCATATATTAGTTATTTTGTTATTATTACAGAAACGGCCTCTGGATTCCAATTTCACCTTCCCTGTGGTGAGCAAAAAGCAGAGGATTGGTCGCCTGGCCAGTCGAGTCCAGCCAGCAGCCGGTGGCCTCAGTCCTGCTTCCTCAACACTGCCTCCCACAGACCTTCCGACTTCTAACACATCTGAAACTGTCAGCTCCATTTTCCTCTGCACCTCTGAGGTGCAACAAAAGGATATGCCTCAGAATCCTTTTGAAACTCCAGTGCATGGTGAGTCAGGTCAAGGACAGTTTTAAGCCCATCCAGTTGGTTTGCTTGTCTATAGGAAAAATCTGTTTATCTCAGGTGTCAAAATTCTGCTTTTCTGTAGGGATTGAAGAAACTTTCACTGTCTCCGCAGACCCTGTGTCATCAAGGGAACAACCAGACTACTTCATGTGAGTAAAATAACAGTTATCTCCCTTGGTACTCAGTGGGGAGCAGTCTTAAGTTCCTTCCTCTTTTGGAAAGATGAGTTTGAGAAGGTTTTGATGGGCCCTCAGTGCTCAGAGCCAAAACGAATACTGTGATGGAGAAGGGCAGGATGAGCCTGACACTTGCTGGCAGTGCAGTTGCGCAGTGTCAGCTGCAGCAGTGGTGTTGTGTCCCCGTGTTGGATCTGCAGTGCGGTAGGGGAGGGGGAAGTGTGTCTGTCTGGTCAAACACTGCCAGTTGGTTCTGTGAGAGCAGGGACATTGGCAAGGGTGCTCAGACCTCCTGCAGCTCTGCAGCTTTGGTGCATCTTCCATCTGCCTTCAAGTTGGTGGCATGGCAGCGCCTGGATCCCATATGATACAGTCAGGGATGCTCCATGGAAAGACTGAGGGAAAGCCTGGCCCTACAGGGAAGCAGTTTCGTGCTTCCCATGTTAGGCTGAGGACTTCAATGCACTTTCAATTCCCAGCCTCTGCTAGGTGAAAATGAGCAGATTGGGCTCTTTGCTGTCTGTTTCCCAGTCAGCTGGGAGCAGTGATAATGAGGAGCACGATAGATGGTTACTTTTTGTAACTGAATATTGAAGTAGGAAGCCGAGATCAAAACCTAAAGAAAAAAAACCTTCATGCAAGATTTCATGAAGTTGGCTTAGTTCTGATTGGGATTAAAAACTTAAATGAAAATTTGCCTGTGAAAGGAGCCATGTCTGGAACAATCTCACAGATAATCTCCTGGTCACAGTGACATGGGAAAAATTAGGTTGTGCTGTATCAGCCATCTGCCTGACCCATTATCATAGTTTGAGACCCCCAAAAATCCAATTTCCAAGTCCAAGCCCCCCTCCCACAATTTGGTTCAGTGTGAGAGGGTTTTTCAGACACAACACAAGACTCAGTAGGGGGGGAAGGGAATTATATTACAATTATTACACAAATAAATACTATAATACATTATATACACAATTTTAACTCTCCTATGGTAAAGCAATATTTACATTAGGTCAAATCCCTCCTTTCCCTCCCATGAAAGTTCAGAAGGGAAGAAGGAAAGATCCTTTCCGCTTTCAGGGCAGCAGTGTCTCTCCTCTTCAAAGCAGCAGTCGTAGCTGGAGTTGTTGTAGCTGGAATCTCTCTCTCTCTCCCCATTACACACAAAGGGTTCTCCTCTCACCCCTCTCAGCCCTTCGGTTCCAACCGAAGGTCTCGCCCGTGGACTGCCAGCAGGGACAAAACTCGCTTCACCACGGTCATATCACAGAATGCAAGACATCCCATGAAAGTCCCTTCCTCAAGGGGTCGAGTTCCCTCAAGTCAGAACGTTCAGGACAGCTCTCAGTTCAGTCTTTGCCCCAAGCATCCTACCTGAGCTTCTTTGCTCTGTCTCAAACTGCCAGCGTGGCAGCAGGGGTGGGGCAAGGCCACTTCCCCCGCATTCTGTCCGACCATCCCGGTCCAACTTCCAGGATGTCTCTGAGCTTCTCAGCTCCTCTCTCCAGTGCTGCTGCATTTCAGGACTCCCCTCAAATGGAAGTCCACCCCCTCCTTTTAAGAGGGATCTCCAAGGGTTTTTGGGAAAGTAATTCTGTCTTACCCCAAAAACAGTCTCTGCTGAGTTTTCTCTGCTGAGTTTTCTCTGCTTTGTTGCCAGCTCTCCCTCCTTCAGGAACATCTCTGCATCTCTCAGCTGGCTATGTGCCATCTCTGCTGCTTGTTATCTCTTTTGGCTCTCGGCCACAGTTCTCTGTTCAGTGCTGCTCCGCCACCGCTTTCAGTGTCTTCTGCTGCCCACTCGCAGTGGCGAAACTCCCCCAGCCTTTGACTATGGCACCTGATCCAGTTTTAATACTGTTCTGGGCTTCCGCAGCCCCCAGCTGGGGGCTGGGGGGGCCTAGCTCCCAGCAGGGCTCACTGGCCCCTCAGCTTCTCGTGGCTTCACAACATGGCTACTTCTCTCCAGCTACATCGTCTCCCCTCTTTTCCGGTCTGTTATAACATATTGATTTCAAAGGAGCGAAATGTAGCTTCTGATTGGGCCCTACACCAAGAACACCACCCCCTCGGGGGTTACCACTTTTCTAACTCCAGGGGAAAACACTTTTTACCCCATAACACCCATAGAGAAAGTTTGAAAACTGAGAGCACCTGCAACATGATCCAGCTCAAAGCACTTTGGTAGTTTATTCCAGCTTCTCTTCTTGATTCTTAGTGCTACGTAATTCATGAGTATGATCACAGCTTTAGCATAAAGATAATTTCAATCTTAATATAGATAGTATGAGTGAAAGTATGAGTGCATACACTTTTAAGCAAAGTGTATGCAAAAGCCAGAAAACCAAAACAGGTTCATGTTTCTCCCCATTTCGCCTCTCCTTTCTTCCCTCTCTACACTCTTGCACTGTGGGTGCTATGCTGGGCTCTTGCTAGGGGATGTCACTGTGCATAAGCCAGAAGTCCAGGTTATTGCTTCACAGGTACCTCCCAAAATGTTGAAGAACATCTGTAGTTTTCTTTTCAAATATCATCCAGCATGCTGATTGGGTGCATCTGGCCTGGGATGCATCACTGGGAGAAGTTGTTTTCTGTGGCCCATTTCTAGAGTTACCTGACTACATTCTCTTGAAGCACATGTGCTTGCCTGTAGAAGCAGGAAACCATGGAGTGAACTCACTTGAGATTGGGTGTCTGGGCTTGACATTCACCATGTGCTTGGTGTAAAATTGTACGTGTGCTTTATAGAATGGAAATGAATTAGAATGTTCCCTTAGAACATATTAATAGCAAAATGTTTTCCATCTTCCATTAGAAAATACACAGCTATAGTGTCCTATGAACAACGCCAGAGCTACAAGGATGACTTCAGTGCAGAGTATGGCGAATACCAGAATTTGTTGGCTCAGATAGACAACATTGCCAAGAAATTCGGGAAGTTTAATGAACAACAGAAGTTTGTGACTCAGGGGTCCACAGAATATCAGGTAAAGAAGGATAAAACTGTGAAGAATATCCTGGTGAGCTGAGGGGGTGCTGATGCACAGATGGGAGAGAAGACTGGAAATGCCTGGAAACCAGTGGCCATAATCCCCAAAGGTTTCCTGACCCTCTCTTTCCCATGACTTTTAACACATAACTAAACCTACAGCAAAAATTTACTCATCTTCCAGGTGGTTGATCCCAGCTGCAATTTTAGCAGAGAGGGCTGTTCAAAACCTGATGTTCTGTCCATCCAGCCTCGGCTTCTCTGATTTGAACACACGTTCCATGTCTTCAGTATCAGAATTCTTTAGTTCCGTGTGCAGGCTGAGGCTTTTTGGGTGGCATTTATTTTGGTTTCGGCCAGATTGCAAATGTATTTGTGAGCAGAAGGAGTATTTTAGTTTCCCTGGTGCTGCTCAGTGAGACAAAGGGAAACCTTGTGGAATTGGAAGATATGCTCAGACCCTGCTTGGGCTGGGTCTCATATTTGCAAAACCCTGCCAAAAACACCCTGTTTGAACTCTCTGTGAATGCACAGCAGTGTGAGTGATGTCCCAAAGGGAGTCTTTGAGCACATGGTCCTTTTATTGCCTACTGACAGGTTTAATTGCAGATCCTAGGTGATAGAGGGGGTTGGATTTATTTTTGCAAAGCTCCTACAGGAGTGGTGGCTCACAGAGAAGAAAATCTCTTCAAGTCAAACCAAGTGTATTCTTAGTGTTTCACGTTTATATTTTCTGGTAGTAGTGAAATGTTCTTCATATTGTCTTCATGGTTTTTTTCTCTTGTAGATGCTTTGTTGTCAAGTCCTGACAGAGCATCAGAAGATACAACAGGTATGTGTAACACCAGATCTGTGGGACGTAGAAACCACTGAGTCTGGCTCAAGGCTATTGTAAAGCCGAAGAGATGAAATTCTAAACTCTCCAGAAATGTTTGCATGCCCTAATTTTCTTTTTATCTTTCCTTTATAGTTTAGCCCCACCTACTCTGAATTGAAGAAGAAATGTCAGTACCTACACAACAAGCTGTCTCACATTAAGAGACTAATCCAAGAATTTGACAAACAGCAAGAGGAGTCCTGTAACCAGTCGTCTGCTTTGGCCAGGACACATCTATGAGCTGTGGCATATTTATTTAGTTCCCCTAGGATTCTTTATCTTAATATTGAACATTAGCTTGTTTGTTTAAAACTGAAGATTAGCTTCTATAGGATTATATAAGTTAGTATTGAGCAGTAGGTTGTTTATTTAAAAAACAATATCCAGTTCCTTTAATAGTATGTAAGATAGTATTTCACATTTTCATTAAAGAAGTTTCAGTATTGTTAACTCCTTGTGGTGGTGGTGTTGCTTATATCATATTTGAAGCTGCTTTTTTCTGGTCCATCCTTTTTTTCAAGACTCAGGCTGTCATTGAAAGCATTTTTTCCTTAGATGGTCGAGATCCAGTACCTCTGCTAAAAAGTTTTCCATAATTTAGTAAAATATTGTAGCAAATTGTAATACTTTAGAATAAGTACAAGCCTGTTTTCTGACCTTTCCGGTTAATGCAAACTCTTGGCCTTATGTGGTAGAAATTTGGGCAAACTCCCCAAAAATCACCGTGTTATGAAGGGTTAAAGAGACGTCATTTGGGCTGCTCTGCACTGTCAGTTGAAGCAGCTCACAAGTCTGCTTTAAAGTCTTGGGTTCCCCTTGTCAGTGAGCCAAGTAATATCCAGATCCTTTGGAAGTGATTTGTAAAACACAGACACGTGTTGAGGCAAAGCACTTCAACAGGTCTTATACACAAGTTGGGTTAAAGTGTCACAGTAGAAACTTTACCCATTTGTTAGCTTTGTTAAAAATAGTCTGTCACAACCAGTCTTTCTAGAGCCACAAATGTTGATTCCTGCACAGATCTAGGGTGACTCTGAAGTCTAATTCTTTCCCTGAGTTTACTACCATTTATTTCTTTAACTCATGGGGGAGAGGTGTGTCCTAAGCTTCTTTTGGGGAAGGATATGAAATTGACTGAGGGAGGACAGTAATTGGGAACATTAAAACAGGGCTGTGGATCCACCTTTCTTCCTTGGAGAGTAGTTTAAAAACAACTTCCTCAATTGTCTCCCTGCAAACTGTGTTGAGCCCCTGTATGTGACACTTCCTGGGGTGTTTTGTGATTGAACACCTGAGCCATTGTTGCCCTTCTGTTCTCCATCAACTGAAGTCCAATAAAACGTTAACTCTTAAATGTTGAGACTTTGGTCTCTTTTTGACTGGAGGCAGGGGGTGCTCCTACCCCTCTGCAAGGAAGCATCAGAACAAAGGCTGCTGTGGGGAGCGAGGGGTGAATTCTGCTGCAGTGATGCCTCCTCTTGCCCTGACGTTCTGACCTGCTGCTGATTGTCAGAGCCTGCAACATGCTGCAAACCTTTTAAAAGTAAAACTTTAATCAGAACTCAATCTTCCAACCCAATCGACCCACTGTACTTGGGTGAAGTGCTGCTGCCTTTGGCGTTTGTGTTCTCCCTTTTGCAACCTGAGGCTTCTGGAGCAGACCAGGTCTGGCTGATATGTTTGTCTTCATGCTGACACCACTTTCTGCAGCATTTTGTAAGAAAGAGTGGACTTCTAAAGACTGCAAATACTATGTTACTTGCTCTCCACCAGCAGAGCTTCCACTGCTATCACTGACAATCATATGAAGTTGAAGAAGGGGAAGTGCCAGTTTCTGCACCTGGGATGGGACAACCCTACTTGTGTGTACAGACTGGGGAATCAGATGCTGGAAAGCTGTGCCAGGAAAGCGACCTAGGGGTCCTGGTTCACGCTAAGTTGATTATGAGTCAGTACTGCCCTGGCAGCCAGGAGGGCCAACTGTGTCCTGGAGGGCATCAGGCAAAGCATCGCCAGCCAGGCGAGGGAGGGGATTGTCCTGCTCTGCTCTGATCTGGGGCAGCCTCACTTTTGAATATTGTGGCAGTTTTGGGCACCACAATCAGAGAACGATATTAAGCCATTAGAGAGTGTCCAAAGGAGGGCAATGAAGGTGCTGAAGGACCTTGAGGGGAAGCCATATGAGGAGTGGCTGAGGGTACTTGGTCTGTTCAGCTGGAGGAGACTGAGGGGAGACTTCACTGCAGTTACAACTTCCTGGGAAGGGGAAGAGGAGGAGCAGGCACTGATCTTTTCTCTGTGATGACCAGTGACGGAACCCAAGGGAATGGCCTGCAGTTGTGTCAGGGGAGGTTTAGGTTGGATATTAGAAAAGGTTCTTCCCCCAGAGGGTGATTGGGTGCTGGAACAGACTTTGCCAGGGCAGTGGTCACAGCATCAAGGCTGAAAGAGTCGAAGATGATACTCCAGGCATGTGGTGTGACTCTTGGGGATGATCCTGTGCAGGGCTAGGGATTGGACTCCCTTCCAACTTGGCATATTCTATGATTCAGTGATTCTGTGAGTCAATTACGCTGTAAACTCCCAGGGGCAATTGGTTTGTCTTGTTTCTTCAGAGATAATGAACCTACAAGGCCATTAACAGTTTTTGCTTCTCAGCAATGTGTTTCAGCTCTAAATCACAGAATGGTTTTGGGTTGGAAGGAGCCTTAAAGCTTATCTTGTTCCAACCCTCTGCCATGGGCAGGGACATCTCCCACTAGCCCAGGTTGCTCCAAGCCCTGTCCAACCTGGCGCTGGACACTTCCAGGAATGGGGCACCCACAGATTTTCTGTGCAAACTGTGCCAGTGCCTCACCACACTCACAGTCAAGAATTTCTTCGTAATATCTAAGCCAAATATGAAGCAAACTTTGATAAAGAGTACATTGCCTCTCATGGCTTCCAGAGTACAAACCTTGACAGGGCCATTGATACCAAAAACAGCATAAAATTAACTGCTCAGAGACAGCTTTGAGTCTTTAAGCAGCAAAGGTATTTATTTTGAGCAATGTTGGGGAGTCTAGCCAGCTCACGTTGGACAAACTAGCTCCAAAGTTCTCAGTGACAAGTCAGGCAATTTATAAATTTTGGTGAGGGATTATAATATTTTACATTAATATTCATTACAATTACATCATCTAGTTATAATATTTATATCTAGCAGGGTTCAGGTGGAGCTTGAGGCAGACTCATCCTTTTGGGTAAGTTCTTGAGGGTCATTCCAGCTTCTTCGGCCTCATCATCATGAACTTTTCAACTCTTCCTGACTATGTGCGAAAGTCTTACTAAAAACCCCTTTACTCAGCTCTCCAACCCCCCCAAATGTCCATCTTATCTAATTTATGACTACTAGGCTAACCTTTTTGTTATATTTCATTAGGATAGAGCATACCAAGGACAAACAGGCCTCTCGGAGCCTGATACCTTCTCTCCCTTAATTAATCTCATAACACATGTTTTCTGTCTCTGTCATTACAACCTAAATGCAGCATTCCTCAAAGTGGTATCTGTGAGCCTCTTCCCGGAGCAGGATTTTAGCCTTTAAAAATCCTTGCTCTGTTTCACCATGATGTTCCATTGTTTAAGAGAAGAACTTCAGAGGCACGAGTTCTGCTTTCTGAGTTGTTCACTATAATGTACCTTAAATCAATGACACAGTTTGGTCTTCTCTACCTTCAATCCAATATAATTTTGCCTTTACGAAATACACGGTACTCAAACCTTAGCTGCTCCCTGCCTCACACATCACACAAGCCCCAGTCTTGTGTGTCTGCAAGAAATCACATTTTTATTGGGTGTATGTTGCAGAATATAAATTTATAGGAAAAGCAAATTTAAAGATTCCTGCAGAAATTCTGTAGCAAAGCTAGGCAGAAGTTTATTTTGAATATGAGAAGTAGGCCAAGACTGGAATATACCGCTTTCACCTCTTGCAAGGAACAAAGCAGGGTCTCTGAGCTCTGTCTCCTTTTTCCAGCTTCCCAATACCCTGGCGTTAAATCATAATTTGGGGACTGACTCAGAGGAAACTGTGTAGCCTACTGAGTCACCATTCCTGAAACATCCAGAGGCAGCAACACTCTCATTGACAGCTGGCTGCCACCACCAAAGGCTTTGGGCAGCAATATCATGCTACTTCCAGCCACACAGAGATTGTGCCTGGCTGGTTTTTGCCCTGGTCAGCTTGGGAGTAGAGCCTGGAAATGTGGAAATGCAGAGTACTGGGAAAAGAGAGGATGCCAGAGAAATGTCTGCATCACAGTTCAGGCAGGAGCAGAGTCTCAGCTTCCCAACCAAGAGGAAATGGTTTAAAAAGTTCTACCTCTTCTTGGACTGCAGCTTTTTTTTATTCACATTTGAGAATTTACAGCAGGAAGCAGGGAAGCAGATGTCACATGAGTTGTGGCAGTTGCCAGCAGTACCCAATTGTGAGATACCGGGAAGATAGGAAATCTGATGGGAGAGAGGAAGGGGGTTTGGAGAGCCCTTCGGTAATTATGCTGGGATACTGCATATGATATCACATGTACAACAGCATAAACCCTGTTGTTAAAGGATAATTACAGATTAAATTTGACTCCCAGATCTCAGTGACTATTTCATAAACATCTGCTGTTAAAACAAAGTTGAGGCCAGCCTGTCAACGCTCCACACAGGCTACTGGAGGGGTATCCTCTATGGTGACAGGTCTTGCAGCAAAGAGAAATGTGATTAAACCCCTATAACTTTGTCACATACTGTGCCAAACATATTTTTTTCCATTGATTCCAGCTAAAAGCTTGCACAGCCACCCATTGTACCCCCTAATTATCTCCATGTTAAAGGTGTTTGTCATTGCAGTGCTGAGTGACACATCATCTCTCTCTACAGCAATTCCAGCCTTTAAGCAACAGCACAATCTGAATTGCTTCTAATTTTTGTACATAAAAAATGCTTATCTTTGGTAAGGCACAACTTTTCATTTAAAAATGCTTTAAAGTTATAATTTTTCTCCATAACACTAAAATCGCTGTAATAAAAACCTAAACCTCTATAATAATAATAATTTTTAAAAAGCAGGAGAAAATTCTCAGTGTGAACATCATCTCTCTAACAGATACAGCATGTCTTCTTTCCTTTTGACAGTGCTTTATAATTTCAAAATAGCATCTGAGGACACTCTGTGCCTCAGCTCTGTGAAGGATTATTGTGCCTGAATGCAAAGAGCAAACCCCCACCAAAACTCTCTGTGTTGCTCAAATGTCAAAAAACGGCATCACATCTGACTTCAGCAGGAGACATTTCCAAGGTGTTACCTCAGGTGGACACGTCTTCTTCTCTGTAGGTGCTGAGCAGAAGAATTTCCATCCATTTTTGGAGGACTGTAAATCCACTCTGTGCTGGGACAAAGAAACCCATGAGGGATAGCAGGGAGTGGAATACATTGGTGATGATGCTAGAGGCCCTGCACTAACATCACAGTGCAGATCGGCAGGGGGATGAAAGTAACCTGAAGTCTTCAGTCTTGCTTTCTTCCAGGAAACTCCACCTATGAAGCCAGTCTGAAGAATTTTTAGTTTTACTTTCAAGTTATAGGATATGGGTAAGCCTCAGACTTGCTTGTGCCTGCTGTCTGCTGCCATGAGTCAGCTTCTTTTTCTTCAACTCTGCTTTCACAAAGACTCCAATTTCTTCAGTGTTTTTTAGCAGCCTTCTTTACCTTGACACTTTCCCGCAGCCTAGACCAAGCTACTCTGCCTTCCTACAGAACACCTCAGTAGCTTCACCTTTCCTCTTCTCTAAAATGGCAATTTTCACAAATGGAGCTTTCTGCTTGCAATGGGGGTGAAGACAAAAGGCAGCACATATTATCTGCCTATTGAAGGACATGGGACAGATGCTGGTGGTGGCATTCTTAACCATCCCCTGTCTGCGTTGACACTGGGTTGTGGCCCCCCACACCAGGAATGAGCACTTTGCACCCTGCACCCCTTCTGCATGAATCATCCCCTTTACAACCTACAAACAGGGACCATGTGGGACATCCACCAAAACCCTTCACCCTGGGGCAGCAGTGGGGAGTGTGGAGGGACGTATGGGGATAGATGCACAAGGGATATGCAGGTAAATGTGAAGGGGATCCATGTGGGGATGCATGGGGGATGCGTGGGGAGATGCACAGGTGGATGTGCAGGGAGATGAGGCAGAGATATTCTGACTAAGCAGTTTTTGCCTCTGCAAAACTCACACAGCCTGACCAGGACTCTGAGACAGGGGAGAGGCTGCTGCAGCACCCAGAGTACACAGCTTGCACCCTGAAGGGAGTTTTCTGGC